GGAGCTAGAACATTCGTTTTGATGAAGCCGTAAAAGAATTCGATTTTATAAGAATGAAGATGAGCCTTATGTTTACAAGAAAGTAAGTGGGAGGGCAGTGGCATTCTTGGTATTATATGTTGACGACATACTTCTCATCGGGAGTGATATACCGAACTTACAGTTGGTAAAGACTTGGTTATCCAAGTGCTTCTCCATGAAAAACTTAGGAAAAACAGCCTACATCCTCGGAATAAAGATCTCTATTGATCGATCGCGTAGGTTGTTTGGCCTAAGTCAGAGTACATACATATACAAGGTACTGAAGAGATTCAGTATGGAAGAATCCAAGAAGGGATTTCTTCCAATGCCAGATGGTATCTATCTCTCCAAGGATATGTGTCCTAAAACACACGATGAGAGAGATAAAATGAAGAGGATCCCATATGCGTCAGCAATTGGATCCATCATGTATGCCATATTGTATGCTCGGGTTGATGGCTCATATGCATTAAGCACTTGCAAAAGATATCAATCAGATCCAAGTGAGCAATGTGATGTTGTGTACTCAGATTGATGTCTTATGTGCATTAAGCACTTGTAGAAGATATCAATCAGATCCTAGTGAGCGACACTGGATGGGTGTCAAGAACGTCCCTAAGTACTTGAAAAAGGACTAAGGATATGTTCTTGTTTTATGAAGGGAAAAATAAGCTCACTATAAGAGGATACTGTGATGCCAGTTCCCAAATGGATAAAGATGATTTTCGCTTGCAATCCGGGTTTATATTTTGTCTCAATAGAGCTGTAGTGAGCTAGAAGAGCTTGAAGCAAAGTATTGTAGTGGATTCTATGACTAATGCTAAGTATATCACATTATCTAATGTAGCCGTGTAGGTAGCTTGGATCAAGAAGTTCAATAATGAACTTGATGTGGTTCCAAGCATTACTGATCTGGTAAAGTTCTACTACGACAACAATGGAGCCATTGCTGTGGCTAATGAACCACGGTCTCACCAGTGATCCAAACACTTACTTAGTTGATTCAATCTGATTTAAGAAATAGATTAGAAAAGGGGATGTGCAGATTTGTAGAATACCTACTAACCCACAGTTAAAGTTTTTGTTGCAGTAGAAGCTTGATGGGCACTTAGGGTCATTCGATGTTGAGTACATGAATGATTGGCTATAGTGCAAGTGGGAGATGGTTAGATTAGGTGCCCAGGAGCTAATTAATTATTGTAGAATTGACTCTCTAAAATAATGTTTATTAATCAATAAAAGGCAATTTTCTTCTATATCATGTAAATCATAATTATGTGTATTGATATATGTCCTTAGGATGGTAGAACCGTGACGAGGGTATCAAGTGTTTCGAATCTTGATAGTGAGAACCCTATGATCACATATGGTGGCCATTCTAGAAATGTCTGTAGCTTCAGTATTATTCTGACCAAGGACACAGATAATACGGTAAGACTATCATAGTGTTGAACGACCCTGTCAAAAGACAGCGACTGATATCCCTTGTCAAGGTTGTTTGCCGACAACTTGTATGACACATGGGTGCTTGTTGTAGGCAAGTTCATTGGACAAACCCACCAGAGGATTCCATGTGGATGGTAACCCTAGTGTCTATGGAATAAATCCTCTAACGAATGGTAGTGCATGTGATCCTTAGACTTGTGCACCGATTGGTGTAGTTTGACACTAGCCCAACGCAGTTCTATTCAGAGATATCAATATGATAGTGATTGGCTACATCGAGGAGTGTATCAAGACTATGGTGGATCAAAAAAGGATTCATCACTCTCGGGTACGGGAGAAGTTATCTCATGGTGCAATTCAGTGAATGGCAATGACATTAAAGTTGTAGCCATAGTGGGATTGAGTTGTTGCTCTATTCAAATTACTATTCCAGTCATTAGTCTAGTAATTGAGTACAAAGATATCAAAGATAACTGAGGTTGACACTATTTTTGTACCTTAGCCTCAGTGAGATAACAGATGATGAAAGGATTGGATTGGATGGTAACCATATCATTGATAGGCAAGCTGTTTCGCTGAATCCGAATCTATCGGGTGGCCATGATGCCTTGTAGAGGCCAATCTTGGTATGTGTTTAGTGAGACGATTGATTGGTGTCAATTGCGAGACTACTCACTGTCGATGTGATGAGGAGCCTTCGAGTCACATGCATAGAAGACAGATTAAGGATAAATTGGTGAGAAAGGGTATTTTCGTCATTTGTGATGAAAGGGTATTTTTGTCATTTATGATGAAAAGGATATTTTCGTCTTTTGAGATGAAAGGGCATTTTGGTAATTTCACAATACAATTAAATTTGCTGAGGTTGTTGCCTATATTTAATTTCATATTGAAATTAAAATTAGTGAGATTATTTATTTAAATATATTCATATATTTAAATATTATATATATTATTTACTATTAATATTTGATGATATTAATATTAGTGAAGATAACATATATGAAATATGAAATTCATATTTGAATTTGAATAAGATGTCATGTGGATTATTACCTTGTTTGATAATGAGGATTTACTGTTCTAGTCATGGAATAAATTTATTCTTAACTAGATTAAGGTTTTAATTTTTGTTGCATATAAAAGGCAGCTTAAAATTAGAATAAAATGAGAGAACACATTAATTAAATCAAAGCCACTCACCTCACTCTCTCTCACGTTTTTCACTTGGTGGAGAAGAGATTTTTTCTTGAAGAAAAATTTTGCATCCTTTTTGCTAGTATGTCTTGGTAGCACTTGAGACCGCAAGTCGATCGCCATCCTATCTTCGTGTGGATACCGAGAGTTCACTCTTATTTTAGAGTAAGAGCAATTTGTATCAATTGAGGGAGCCTCCAAACGCTAGTATGAAATCTGGAAATTTTATATTCAATATCATTTCATATGTAAATAACGTAAATCGAGTATAAGGTTCTTGGGTTCAATGTTGTTGTTGGGGATTTTTTTTTTTTCTGTTTTCCGCTGCGTAAACCCCATTAGCGACTAACAAGATTCACGTTATCGTCAAGCATATGTTGGTAAATGAAGAGAGTTGGATGGCGGGTTGTGTCATGGCAACCAATTAAGTTTACAAGAGTTTTAAAATTACATGGTACTTATGCTTGAATAATTAAATAAATATATATTGTAGACTTGTAAACAAAATTTTTGCTCGTCATTTATAATGATCAAATCCTGTACTTCCCAATGCAGTTCAAATTTCTATAGGTAAAAATGTACGGTCGTATTGTGCAAAATTCTGCACTTCCCAAATTTCTTGAAATAAATTACAAGAAATATACCTTCATCTGATTATGAGGTATTACATTGATTAATAGACCGCAATTGTTTCTTCATAATATCTTCAAGAAGAAACCTACTGTTAAGGTGAGATGATCCCCTTCTTCTATTACTGATTTTGCTATCTTTCCAAGCTCTTTTGCTCTTTGTCTTCTCTCTTCTCCTTCTTTTCCTTTATCCATTGTCCTTTCCACATCATTCTTAACATCTTCTCACTTCACCAAAACTCCAATCTCTTTTTTCTCTCCCCACTTCATCGGATATTCTGCCCTAACCCTGACGCCAATTTTTAGTACTAGGATGACAAGTTTCTCGTTACAAAATTGGTCCCCGAAAAGTGACCAGGTTACCAATGGCAGGCCAGTGCACATGCCTTCTAGCGTTGAGTTCCAACCGCAATATGTTAAGAACCCACCAATTAAAGGGTGTGACAATATTAGAACTTGTGGTGCCCAACCCCTTATCACAAGTCCTCTCCTTTTATCCTCTCCTCAAAACCATCCTCTACCATCCATTTTTGTAACTCTTTGGATATATATCCTCCTCTTATGACCCAAATGAATGGCTTATTTGATGCTTCTAATCATATCCCAAGTTCTATCAACTATGCAGGAACTATATTGCAAAGGCTTCCAAGGCAAATGTAAATTACAGAGTTGGTATCTTGTGAATTTAGCCACTTCAGACATTGGGCATCATCAATGGCTGCTTTGTTACCTGGGTAAACCTTATCCAAGTAGTCTTTACTGCATAATGAAACTGGCCCGACGCACCAGACCTTGTTGTCTTTTACCTTACTGTATTCTTTAACATAAGCTAACTCTAATTCCTCGAAACTATTCACAATCACCCCATATGTAGCTCCATCAGCTTCAAGCATCATTTCCTCCACAAATTCTTTTAGATTTGGATCTATAGAATTTATCTACGGTTTAGTAAATTCAACTTTATCAGGCATATCTGACACAACAAAGTACTGTGTCTCTAAGGAGACACTCTCCATAACCTTGGAAACCTTTAACATTGTGGAAGGATAGAAGACGGAAGCAACATACTCCATGGAAACTAATCCTTGGAATATTAAATTTTCTAGCAATATGTGCTGTATACGGCAAGCACATATCACAGATTATGCAGCTTGGCTGTGGTTTTAGCTCCACAAACAATGTTTCTATTGGCTCTTTTAGTGTTCAAAGTAGTGATATTTTGCTTGAAACAATTATTTTGATTATGCTGGAGCTGGAAACTAGCAGCAAAATGGCAGAATTTGAAGTTGTGAAACTGGTCTGGAGCAGTTCACCATAGTTGGTCTGTAGGCATGCTGAAGTGATAGTTTTTGGTGAATTCACCTTGCATTTGGCTACCAACTTTATATCAACTTAATGTGATGTAATTAGAGTTGCTAAGGATGTATGGTTAAGATGTTATTTTGGACTAAAATATGTTTTATGTTAGGTACAACAATAAGTCTGCATGTATAAAACCCTGCTGTATTTTTTGTTGAATATATGAAAAATAAAAGTCCTTCTTCTCTCTTATCTTTTCCTTCCTTTTTCTCTCCCGTATAACCATCCTTACATGCTCAAATAACCAACAAGTGGTATCAGAGCCTCACTTTGATCTTAAGGGGCCTGCAAAAACCTTCATTTTGGCACTCACTCAGTCAGTCCTCACCACACCAAAAACCAAGCTTCATGGCAGCAAGTTCAGCCTCACTATTACCTCTAACCTTCAATAGGGAACAATACCATATGTGGGTTGTTAAGATGAAGGCTTACTTGAGAGGTCAGAGTCTATGGCAGTACATAGAAGAAGAGAAGCAGTCGCCACAGTTGGGGCCAAATCCAACCTTGAATCAAATAAGAATCCATGAAGAGGAGACTATTAAAGCTCTAAGAGCTCTATCCCACATACATGCAGTTGTTACGGATCAAGTCTTCACAAGGATAATGGCTTGTGAGACAGCAAATGAAGCTTGGGACAAACTTAAGGAAGAATTTGGAGGAAGTAGCCAAACCAAAAACATGCAAGTCTTGAACCTAAGGAGAGAGTTTGAGACATTGAAAATGCAAGAGGCTGAAGTGGTTAAGGAGTATGTAGATAGATTAATGAATATGGTTAACAAGATAAGGTTGCTAAGGGAAGAGATAACTAATAAAAGAATTGTAGAGAAGGTATTGGTAAGCCTACCTAAGAGGTTTGAATAAAAAATCTCCTCTTTGGAGGATTCCAAAGACTTGTCTCAAATTACCTTAACTGAACTTGTTCATGCACTTCGAGCTCAAGAGCAAAGAAGAAAGTTGAGGCAGGAGGACAGTGGCAAAGTTGCATTGGTTGTCCAGCAAAAGAGCAAGCCAACTCAGGGAGGAAACAAGAGGTTTATTGGAGATAAGAGAGGAAAGGAAAGAGCAAGCAGTCAGTGGAACAAACCAATAGGTTTCAGGAGTTTTGCACCATGTTCTCACTACAAAAAGAAGAACCATGCAGAGAGCAAGTGCTAGTTCAGACCATGTTCAATGTAGGGCATGTAAACAATTTGGCCACATTGAAAAGGTCTGGAAAAACAAACCACACCAGCTAGCACAGCAAACACAGATGGCTGAGGATATACAACAAACTACAGAATCAGAGCAGTTGTTTGTGGCATCCTGCTATGCAGTTCCGTTCAATGCTAGAGCTTGGCTGATTGATTGTGGATGTACAAATCATATGACAGTTGATCTGGAGAATTTTGTGAAGCTGGACCAAGCATACCAATCAAGTGTAAAGGTGGGGAATGGTGATTTTGTAAAGGTTAAAGGCAGAGGAGATGTGGCTCTGCAGACCTTGATAGTTACAAAAATCATTTCTACTGTGTTGTTTGTTCTTAAAATCAATAAAAATCTGCTTAGTATAGGACAAATGCTTGAAAGAAATTACATCCTACACTTTGAAAACAAATCCTACACAATATTAGATAATGAAGGAAATGTGATGATGCATGTTAAAACGGTGGGGAAGAGTTTCCCAGTTGAACTCAAAAAATAAGAATTTCAAGCTATGACAGTGAATTCAAATGACACAGACCTATGGCATAAAAGGTATGGTCATTATCACTTTGCTGGCCTTAGGCAAATGAAGCTTAAAAATATGGTGCATACCTTACCTGAAATGAAAGAGAAAGAGAGCTTGTGTAGAGTATGCCAAATAGGGAAGCTTAGCAAACCTGTCTTTCCAACAAACTAGGCCTGGAGAGCCACTGAAAAGCTCTAATTGGTACACACTGATGTGTGTGGACCAATGCAAACCCCATCCCTAAGTGGATCCAAATACTTTACCTTGTTTATTGATGATTATTCAAGAATAACTTGGATGTATTTTTTAAACAAAAGGGAGAAGTTGCCGCTGTGTTTAGGAGGTTTAAAGCTCAAGTTGAAAACCAAGCTGGTGTAAGGATAAAGGCTGTGAGAAGTGCTAATGGGGTGAATATACTTCATGGGAATTTGGCTCTACATGTAGGGATGCAGGAATATGGCATCAGTATAGTTGTCCTTACACTCCTCAACAACATGGAGTGAGTGAAAGGAAGAATAGGACAGTAATGGAGATGTCAAGGTGCATGCTAACTGAAAAAATCTGCCAAAGGAGTTATGGGCAGAATCTGTGAACTCTAGTGTGTATTTGTTGAATAGACTTCCAACCAAGGCTTTAAAAGATCTAACTCCATTTGAACATGGTATGGAGTCAAACCTCAAGTAGACCATCTTAGAATCTTTAGGAGTATATGTTATGTCCTCACACCAGCCATCAAAAGATCAAAGCTTGATGACAAAGCAAAGGCTGGAATTCTGGTTGGTTATAACCTCCAATCCAAGGCCTACAGAGTCTATATTCCAGAGTCAAAAAAGGTTGTGGTTTCAAGGGATGTAAAGGTTGATGAGAGGTCAATGTGGAATTAAGAGGAGAAGAAAATTCAGGATGATACACGGCCATAACAAAGAGAGCAAGTTGCTAACCAAGTTGATGGGGCAGATTCTGATACAGAAGAAGAAGACGTATCAGTAAGAGGAACCAGACCTTTTGCAGAGATTTATGGGAGATGCAATGTTGCAATGCTTGAACCAACATCCTATTGTGAAGCAGCCAAGTTAGAGGAATGAAGGATTGCTATGTAGGAAGAGTTTCCATGATAGAAAAGAATGGAACATGGAAGCTTGTAGACAGACCTGCCGAGAGAAAGGTGATCCAGGTAAAGTGGATCTTCAAGAAAAAATTGAACCCTGATGGTTCAGTTTTGGAGCACAAAGCTAGGTTAGTTGTAAACCCCGTGTTATTATTCCAATGCCTTAAGGTATGAAATTTACTTTTCAAGTAATTTTCTTTTTTTGAATGGAAGGATAAAATGGTCAATTTACATGTATTTCGAGATGTGGCCATTATTAAGTGTAAGGGGTGATGTCATTGAAGAGAAATGCGGGTAGAATGGTCATAAAGTTGATTGATATGGTTAAATGGCGTAAACAGTAACCAAGGGTATAGTGGTCTTTTCATACAAANCAATTCCATGACTTCCACACACTCTCAGGTGCATATTCCCTCTTCGTTATCTGTTTAGCAGCTTCTGTCAGAGGAGCAATGATACGGTTCCCCTGGCTTAATATTGTAGGATGTTGGCTACCACCAATTGCATACATAAGCCAATGACTGTAGTCGCTATTCACAACATGAACAAAACCCCATCTGCATCTCGGCATTCTTTGCAGTAATCCCTGCCCAAAGTGAAAGGTTATGGATGATAATATTTTTAGCATACTGGATAGTAATTTGAGCACCATTGTGAATATGAATATGAGCACCACGTGCATTCAATGGTCTTATTATCCGATATAATAAGTTCTTGGCTTAGCCTTAGCCTAATGATCATGTCATGAGCGAAAATGATCCACAGGGGCTTGTCTTGGATGACTGCATGGCGCAGAGTGCCTGGTTTGGGGTTGACAAGGTCATCATTGGCGTGGTTGGTTACGATAGAAGTCTCCAGCTTTGCCTCCGGTGGTGCCACGCCCAAAACCTAGCGCGCAATCAGCTAGCTTATTGGTTCTTAGCCCAGTTTGGCTCACATCTCCAGCACCGATCGATTGGGTTTGTGGCTAAGCATATCCCGTCCGTTTTTCTAAGGGTCCTTTTCAGATTCCTCCTCATGATTGTCCCACCTTCGAAAGACCTATGGATTGTAACAATGAGAGTCAAATGAGATATAAAACAAACTAAAGAGTCTAAATTGGAAGCAATATCCTTTAACATACACAGAAAACAAATGATTGTGAGACCAAGAATTTGCATGCAAATGTATTTATAGATATCATAGTACTAAAGATAACTTGGACTGTAAAAATAGCATGGAGAGATGATCGTGAATGAAAGTGACGAGAGAATTAATGAACATACTCGTGAGTCGTGAACGTGGTGGTTGAGATGTAGGATGACCTCGTGAGGATTTGGGTTATAGGCCTCTTGTGCAGCCTTCTTGGCTTCTTCAGCTCGCTTCTGCCACACCTCATCGAAATCGTTGATTTCAGCCTTTAGGGTCGGAAATATGACGAACAAACTAAATAAAGTCAATAATCCTGCAGCATTATCAGATCCCATACTGTAACTATTTAAGTTCCTCTTCCCAGCTTCATCGATCTTATTATTGTTATTTTTTTTCAATATAAAAAATAAAAATTTCTTTATATTATCTACAATTGTTGCTAAAGTCCAAAGTGTACTTAGTTCAAATCACCCTACGTGATGAGAGTTTACGCAACCTGTGCCATTGCATGAAGAGAGAATTGTTCAAAGTAGTGATATTTTGCTTGAAACAAATATTTTGATTATGCTGGAGCTGGAAACTGGCGATAGAAGGGCAGAATTTGAAGTTGTGAAGCTGGCCTGGAGCAGTTCACCGTAGCTGGTCTGTAGGCATGCTGAAGTGATAGTTTTTGGTGAATTCAGCTTGCATTTGGCTGCCAACTTTATATCAACTTAATGTGATGTAATTAGAGTTGCTAAGGATGTATGGTTAAGATGTGATTTTGGATTAAAATATGTTTTATGTTAGGTACAACAGTAAGTCTGCAATGTATAAAACTCTGCTGTATTTTTGTTGAATGATATGAAATATACAAGTCCTTCTTCTCTCTTATCTTTTTCCTTCCCTTTTTCTCTCCCGTATAACCATCCTTACATGCTCAAATAACCAACAAGTGGTATCAGAGCACCATTTTGATCTTAAGGGGCCTGCAAAAAAAAACCTTCACTTTGGCACTCACTGAGTCAGTCCTCACCACACCAAAAACCAAGCTTCATAGCAGCAAATTCAACCTCACTCTTACCTCCAACCTTCAATTAGGAACAATACCATATGTGGGTTGTTAAGATGAAGGGTTACTTGAGAGGTCAGAGTCTATGGCAGTACATAGAAGAAGAGAAGCAGCCGCCACAGTTGGGGCCATATCCAACCTTGAATCAAATAAGAATCCATGAAGAGGAGACTGCTAAAGCTCCAAGAGCTCTGTCCCATATACATGCAACTGTTACGGATCAAGTCTTCACAAGGATAATGGCTTGTGAGATAGCAAAGGAAGCTTGGGACAAACTTAAGGAAGAGTTTGGAGGAAGTAGCCAAACCAGAAACATGCAAGTCTTGAACCTAAGGAGAGAGTTTGAGACATTGAAAATGCAAGAGGCTGAAGTGGTTAAGGAGTATGTAGATAGATTAATAAATGTGGTTAACAAGATAAGGTTGCTAAGGGAAGAGATAATTGATAAAAAGAATTGTAGAGAAGGTATTGGTAAGCTTACCCCAGAGGTTTGAATCAAAAATCTCCTCTTTGGAGGATTCCAAAGACTTGTCTCAAATTACCTTAACTGAACTTGTTCATGCACTTCAAGCTCAAGAGCAAAGAAGAAAGCTGAGACATGAGGACAGTGGTGAAGCTGCATTGGTTGTCCAACAAAAGAGCAAGCCAACTCAAGAAGGAAACAAGAGGTTTATTGGAGATAAGAGAGGAAAGGAAACAGCAAGCAATCAGTGGAACAAACCAGCTGGTTTTAGGAGTTTTGCACCATGTTCTCACTGCAAAAAGAAGAACCATGTAGAGAGTAAGTGCTGGTTCAGACCAAATGTTCAATGTAGGGCATGTAAACAATTCAGTCACATTGAAAAGGTCTGCCAAAACAAACCACACCAGCCAGCACAGCAAGCACAGATGGCTGAGGATCTACAACAAACTACAGAATCATAGCAGTTGTTTGTGGCATCCTACTATGCAGTTCAATTCAATGCTGGAGCTTGGCTGATTGATAGTGGATGTACAAATCATATGACACCTGATCTGGAGAACTTTGTGAAGCTGGACCAAGCATAATATTAGATAATGAGGGAAATGTGATGATGTATGTTAAAATGGTGGGGACGAGCTTCCCAATTGAACTCAAAAAATCATAATTTCAAGCTATGACAGTGAATTCAGATGACACAAACCTATGGCATAAAAGGTATGGTCATTATCACTATGTTGGCCTTAGGCAAATGAAGCTTAAAAATATGGTGCATACCTTACCCAAAATGGAAGAGAAAAAGAGTTTGTGTAGAGTATGCCAAATAGGGAAGCTTAGCAATCCAACAAACCAGGCCTGGAGAGCTACTGAAAAGCTCCAATTGGTACACATTGATGTGTGTGGACCAATGCAGACCCCATCCCTAAGTGGATCCCAATACTTTACCTTGTTTATTGATGATTATTCAAGAATGACTTGGGTGTACTTTTTTAAAACAAAAAGGAGAAGTTGCTGTTGTGTTTAGGAGATTTAAAGCTCAAGTTGAAAACCAAGCTGGTGTAAGGATAAAGGCTGTGAGAAGTGACAATGGGGGTGAATATACTTCATAGGAATTTGAATCTATATGCAAGGATGCAGGAATATGGCATCAGTATAGCTGTCCTTACACTCCTCAACAAAATGGAATGAGTGAAAGGAAGAATAGGACAGTGATGGAGATGTCAAGATGCATGCTAACTGAAAAAAAAAATCTGCCAAATGAGTTATGGGCAGAATTTGTGAACTCTAGTGTGTATTTGTTGAATAGGCTTCCAACCAAGGCTTTAAAAGATCAAACTCCATTTGAAGCATAGTATGGAATCAAGCCTCAAGTGGACCATCTTAGAATCTTTGGGAGTATATATTATGTCCTCATACTAGCCATCAAAAGATCAAAGCTTGATGACAAAGCAAAGGCTGAAATTTTGGTTGGTTATAGCCTCCAGTCCAAGGCATACAAAGTCTATATTCCGAAGTCTAAGAAGGTTGTGATTTCAAGGGATGTAAAGGTTGAGGTCATTGTGGAACTGGGAGGAGAAGAAAATTCAGGATGATACACGGCCATAGCAAAGAGAGAAAGTTGCTGACCAAGTTGATGGGGCAGATTTTGATACAAAAGAAAAAGTATCAGTTAGGGGAATTAGATCTCTTACTAAGATCTATGGGAGATGCAATGTTGCAATGCTTGAACCAACATCTTATTATGAAGCAGCCAAGTTAGAGGAATGGATGATTGCTATGCATAAGGGGTTGTCCATGATAGAAAAGAATGGAACGTGGAAGCTTATGGACAAACCTGTTGAAAGAAAAGTGATCCAGGTAAAGTGGATCTTCAAGAAAAAATTGAACCCTGATGTTTCAGTTCTGAAGCACAAAGCTAGGCTAGTTGTGAAAGACTTTGCACAACAACATGGTGTAGACTTTCAAGACACATTTGCACCTATTGCTAGGCATGATACAATCAGGTTAGTCCTTGCTTTGGCAATTCAATTCAAGTGGAAAGTTTACCAAATGGATGTCAAGTTAGCCTTCTTGAATGGTTGGCTGGATGAAAAGATATTTATTGAACAACCTGAGGGACACGAAGTCAAGGGGAAAGACGACAAGGTCTATTTGCTGAGGAAGGTCTTATATGACCTAAAACAAGCTCCAAGAGCTTGATACAGCAGAATCAATGACTACCTGGTCAGCCTAGGTTATGCAAGGAGTCTAAATGAGCATACTTTTTATGTGAAGAAAGTCAATGAAGATGTGATCATGGTTTCCTTGTATGTAGATGATTTGCTGGTGACAGGAAACAATGCTATTCAAGTTGAAGAGTTTAAGAAGGCAATGCACAAAAAGTTTGAGATGACTGACTTGGGAGAAATGACCTATTTTCTTGGAATGAAAATCTATCAATCTCAAGATGTCATTTTTATATGTCAAAGGAGATATGCTAATGAGATGCTGAAGAAGTTTGGGATGGATGAATGTAAGTCGGTTGGCACACCTTTAGTGCAAAATCAAAGGTTGTGCAAAGAGGACGGAGCAGCCCCGGTGGATGAAACAAATTATAGAAGGTTGACTAGGAGTTTGCTATATTTGACAGCAACAAGACCTGATCTAATGTTTCCCACTAGTCTCCTATCAAGATTTATGAGCAAACCAAGTGAGGAGCATCTTAAAGCAACCAAGAGAGTGCTGAGGTTCATCAGAGGAACAACAGATCATGGAATCTGGTTCAGGAAGTCTGAAAATTTCATATTGGTAAGCTATGCAGACAGTGATTGGGGAGGTTCTTGTGATGACATGCGAAGCACATCAGGGTATGTTTTCCTGCTGAATTATGGAGCTTTTAGCTAGTCTTCCAAGAAGCAAGAAACAGTGGCTCAATCCACTGCAGAGGCTAAATACATATCAGCTGCTGCTACAGTAAATCAAGCCATATGGTTGAGGAATATGTTGAATGATATGGAGGTAAAACAGTGTAAGCCTACTGAAATTTGTTGTGATAATCAATCGGCTATTGCTATGGCAAAGAATCCAGTCATGCATGGGAACTAAGCACATAAAAATCAAGTTTCATGCAGTGAGGGAGGCTGAGTAATGCAGGGAAATCAAATTGACTCATTGCAGGGGAGAAGTTCAATTGGTTGACATCTTTACAAAGTCTTTATGTAAGTCCAAGTTTGAAGATCTTAAACTTAAACTCGGTGTCTCAAGTAAAAATATCAAGGAGGAGTGTTCAAAGTAGTGATATTTTGCTTGAAACAAATATTTTGATTATGCTGGAGTTGGAAACTAACGGCAAAAGGGCAGAATTTGAAGTTGTGAAACTGGCCTAGAGCAGTTCACCGTAGTTGGTCTATAGGCATGCTGAAGTGATAGTTTTTGGTGAATTCAACTTGCATTTGGCTACCAACTTTATATCAACTTAATGTGATGTAATTAGAGTTGCTAAGGATGTATGGTTAAGATGTTATTTTGGATTGAAATATGTTTTATGTTAGGTACAACAGTAAGTTTGCAATGTATAAAACTCTGCTGTATTTTTGTTGAATGATATGCAATATACAAGTCCTTCTTCTCTCTTATCTTTTTCCTTCCTCTTTTCTCTCTCGTATAACCATCCTTACATGCTCAAATAACCAACAAGAATAAAAATATTGCTTAACGTTCTTATTATTTTTGAAATGTTTTGTGTTTTGTTGCTTCCAGATAGGATGGAAAATGTATATGTATCAGTTATAATTAATGATCTAAACTAAGAAAAGAAATTAGATAAGAAGTCGGGAGGGAAGGGAGGGGAGCCTCTCTTACTAAAACAATCAACAGTTTAGGCTTTTCTTTTATTTGAGATCAATCAGCTTAACTACAAGATGTTTGCAGATCTAATATCGTTTAATTTGGGAAAAGAATTTGATTTCATTTCAGAGCTTCTCATCTGGGCAAAGTGACGGTTAGATTTTATATTTATAAGATTATACTAATTGCATGTGAGATGGGAATCGTAAGGGTCAGCTTTCTTGGCCACGGTGAATCATATAATGTTCTTGTGCTTGAAGCAATATTCTAGGTTAATTAATGTTGATACGTGCATTATTTTCACGGCGGCTGGCATCCCTCTCTACGTACTCCTCCACCGAAATATTTTGTTACACAAGACAAGCAAAGAATATATAGTTTCTTTCCTCTCCTATTCAAATTGTTAACTTCTACAAACTAACTCAAACAACCCACCCGACACATCACGTTTAGAATAATTATATGCCTCCTGAAAAGCTGTGTGAAGTTCATCAGGTTTTGATCACACACGAAAACGATTGCCACATTGATCCATCGGTTTCCATTTCTATAAATACAATTATAAGCTCACCCCATATCAACAATCACAAAAACATCATTAATTTGGGAAGTTCAGCTGCTAAACTGATTAATTTAGCTCATCATCATGGCATACGTTGGAGGAAGAAGGTGGCCTGGAGAAAGAAGTTATTCGCATAAGCCAATAATTCAAGATTTTGTACCTTCTTCAACTTGGAATGAGGACGCCAATGGCCATTATCTCCTGATGGATCTTCCTGGTACGGAAAAAAGTTATATTTAGTGATGAATATATAGGATATACAGCCTTCTAAAATTATTAAAATCTCCTTAAATATAACGTAATGCAATATATAATATATATATATAGTCTACAATAGCTGAAGAGGTGCATGGAAATATGTAATATGATTTTCTATGTCGATATTAATTGAATACTAAATGAAGAGCAATTTCATTTTTTTTTTTTTTCCTTGTGGAAATATTTATATGAAGATTTACTGCTCAAATGGATATACGAGGAACATGGTATTAACTATTGTGAATTGTATTATGTTTTAGACTTCCAAAAGGAACAGGTGAAGCTCCATGCTGACCCTTCTGGCAGTATAATGGTTAGCGGAGAAAGACTGACGAATGATAAAAGTAGAATAATACGCTTCGAGCAGACCTTTAAACTGCCACCAAATTCAGATATCGATCAGATCACCGGAAAATTTGACGGTGAGATTCTCTATGTAACTGTGCCAAAACTAGTCGAAGCAGAGAAGCAGCAGGAAGTTCCCGAGAGAGAAACCGAAAACATGAGCAGCAGCAGCAATATTACGGAAGAAATCAAAGAGGAAAGCAGTCATCATCATCATCACAATGATGAAAATGTAAACCGCGGTCATGCAGAAGTGCATGGCAAAGAAGAACATGAGCGCCAGTCTGACAAGAAACAAATGTGTTCCTCCCGGGTTGATAGTTTCCATAAAGAGGACGTAGAGAAGTGGGCAAAACAGCCGAGTCAGTTGGATTGGGCTATGAAGATACTAAGGAAAAACAAGGGAATTGTTGTTACGGCCGTGATAGCGTTCTCACTGGGGGTTTACGTTTCTCGCAAGTTCGGACCTGCTGCTGCGGTACTCGAGGCTGCGCCATTTGATTAATTAGTTTGCACGATTGTCCACCAGTAATGCTAAACGATTACAAAATTATGTTGACCATCTACCGTTGTATATAGAATAATATTAGACAAATTCCTTGTGTGAAATTGCAAATAATAAATTATCCATTCCGTCTTTATGATGCTGATTCATTCACTGTGTTTTAATTCATAACGCAAAATTAACAATTCCCTCGTTGTTGTTGGACTGTTTCTTGAATCTATTATTTCTTTGAAACTAAGGAGAAAATTAAAAATTAATGTTGATGATAAAATCAAAAAAAGGAAAATTGCAGCTGGACCACACAATTATCAGGGTGAATCAGAATAAGATGAATTTCAAAAGTAAGTTTGATAGTGATGGAGTGAATGAATGAGACATGGAAGGCAAATTTTTTTTTTTTTTTTTAATCATCAGGAGGTCCGGATCAGTTTGCGCGCACCTTAACTAATCTTCTAAGGTCTTAGAAGTCCGATCGAGTAACCCTCCAGTGACCACCTCTATTAGGGTCTGGACGGACTCAAACTCAGGAGCTTAGGAAAACTCCTTTTATTCTTTGACCACTAGGCTACCAATTTCTATGTCTGTTGAAGGTAATATGCCAAAATGTTTGTTACAACTTACATCCCAACATCTTATGATAAAAAATTAAATTAAATTAAAATGGGTGTTACGACAAATATTACAGAATTAATTTTTAATTTGTAGTCACGAGCATGTCGTATAAAATAGACTACAGAATCATCATGGAGAGATTGGTGTGTTTGAGTAATATCAAACTCTAGACTGATTGTATTATACACAACAAGATTGTGAATTGTGATGGCTACAAGGTCCCTTTAGAAAGGGGGATGAGATGTACAAAATTTGATTGGATGCTAAATAGATAAATAAAAGGAATGGGCATCTAATCAAATATATTCTAGGGTGTATATGAAGCTTTTGCAATATAGCATTGAAATCTGTTGGAAAAATATTATGCCAAAAACAAAACAGCATCTGACCAAAATTTACTTTATCCTTTGGGATCAGATTCACCTCCACCAATTCAAAAGCCAACCCCCGAAGGGAGAAGCTTCTTCGTTATGAGTGCCAAAAGTTGTTACCACCAATCCACAATGTTCAGAATACGTTACTGGAGATTTGTTTTACAAGAATGAAAAAGGGAAATTAAATAATAAATGTAAGGTGTGAGTAGAAAAAGGCAAAGGATATTGGTCTTTTAGGTTTGTTGACAAGAGAAACAGATAGAAGAAGAATAATAAGAGTCCGAAACAATAAAATAAAGGTAGATGCTTTTGTGGCTAAACTTTATTCAAAATGTGTGTGCTTTTGACATAAAGGAGAGGCCCAAGTTTGGGAGGAGGAATCATCATCTGCCTTGCAGTTACCTTACCTACATTCTATGAAGCGTCACCGTTTTCTTCAAGCTACCTATATTCATACAAATCCATTAAAAATAAATAAGATGAGGTGGGTAAAGGAACCTGTCAAGTTGGAAACTAAAACCTTGACGAGAGAGCATGGAATATTTATTCTTTTCCATTTTCTTTCATAATAATAATAATAATAATAAATCACAATTTCAAAAGGCCACCTTAAAAACCACCTCATCTCACTCTCTTAATTTCCCTTCCGCTATCAACGCTTTCTCTGTCCATCCAAAAAAACAAAACAATCCAGTATTTCTTTCAACAAAAATAAATAATAACAAACATGAGAGTATGACAACCCCGCCGTCTCAACCACCGCCACAAAATACCGTCCGTAAACTTGTGGTGGAAGTAGTCGATGCACGTGACTTGCTTCCAAAGGACGGCCAGGGAAGTTCCAGTCCCTACGTCATCGCTGACTTTGACGGCCAAAGAAAGCGAACCTCCACAAAGTTTCGGGAGCTCAATCCAGTATGGAACGAGCCATTGGAGTTCATTGTGTCGGACCCCAAAAACATGGACTATGAAGAGCTGGATATCGAGGTATACAACGATAAAAAGTACTGCAATGGCAGTGGCCGTAAGAACCACTTCTTGGGAAGGGTTAAGTTGTACGGTAGCCAATTCTCAAAGCGTGGAGACGAAGGGTTGATGTATCTTCCTTTGGAGAAGAAAAGTGTTTTCAGCTGGATTAGAGGAGAGATCGGCTTGAGAATTTGTTACTACGATGAGTTGGTTGAAGAGGAGCAGCCACCGCCAGAGGGTCAACCGCCGCCAAATCAACCTCCTCCAGAAGAACCGTCGCAGAACACACCCGCGGTTGTTGTCGTTGAGGAAGGTCGAGCTTTCGAGGTTCCTGGACACGGGCAGACTTGTCATCCTGTTCCAGAGCACTACCATTGTCAACCGCCTCCGGTTACCATAATCGAGGAATCTCCACCGCACGTGGTGCAAGTACCACCGGATCCACCTCATTATGCGCCGCCAGATGAGCCGATTCCGACGGTGGAGGTGATGAAGATGCAGAGCGCAGGTGTTGAAAGAGTTAAAGTTTTGAAAAGACGATATGGAGAATTTTCACCGAGGGTGATCACTACTGGTAAAGCTTCCGGAGAAACTGCAACAGCAGAGATGGTCCATCCATACAATCTGGTTGAGCCGATGATGTATCTATTTGTGAAAATCGTAAAGGCGCGTGGCTTAGCTCCAAACGAGAGTCCATATGTGAAAATCAGAACGTCCAATCATTTCCGGAAATCCGAACCGGCATTTCATCGGCCCGGTGAGCCAACCGACTCCCCCGAGTGGAACCAGGTATTCGCACTGGGTTATAATAAGAATGACTCCGCCAACGCGCTTCTGGAAATCTCCGTGTGGGACTCTCATTCGGAAAATTTCCTCGGCGGTCTTTGTTTCGATCTTTCCGATGTTCCGGTGCGGGACCCACCAGATAGTCCGCTGGCCCCACAGTGGTATCGCCTCGAGAGCGGACCTCCAGAACAAGGGAATAGAATATCCGGTGACCTTCAGCTGGCCGTATGGATTGGGACTCAAGCTGATGACGCGTTTCCCGAAGCGAGGAGCTCGGATGCGCCCTACGTGGCACACACGCGCTCTAAGGTTTATCAATCGCCTAAACTCTGGTATTTGAGAGTTACCGTGATTGAAGCTCAGGACCTTCACATTGCTCATAATTTACCTCCGTTGACGGCACCGCAGATTAGAGTGAAAGCGCAGTTGGGGTGTCAGTCTGTACGGACGAAGCGTGCGTCTATGAACAATCACAGCTCGTCGTTTCACTGGAATGAGGACTTATTCTTCGTCGCCGGAGAGCCGTTCGAAGACTCCTTGATTTTGTTGGTCCAGGACCGTACAAGCAATGAAGCAATGCTCCTGGGACACATCATGATTCCAGTGAGCTCGATCGAACAACGAATCGACGAGCGACACGTGGCGAGCAAATGGATTGCCTTGGAGGGAAGAAGCGAAGGTGGCTGTAGCTGTGGGCCCTACTGCGGGAGAATTCAGCTACGATTATGTTTGGAGGGTGGATATCACGTGCTTGATGAAGCGGCGCACGTGTGTAGTGATTTTAGACCCACGGCTAAGCAGCTTTGGAAGCCAGTTATTGGAATTTTGGAGCTGGGGATTCTAGGCGCACGCGGCTTGTTGCCAATGAAAACCAAAAATGGAGGTAAAGGCTCTACTGATGCTTATTGTGTGGCCAAGTACGGTAAAAAGTGGGTGCGCACCAGAACCATCACTGACAGCTTTGATCCACGCTGGAATGAGCAGTACACGTGGCAAGTGTACGATCCGTGTACTGTTCTTACTATTGCAGTGTTCGACAACTGGCGGATGTTTGCTGATGTATCAGAAGACAAACCCGATTGGCGTATTGGGAAAATACGTATTCGCGTATCTACTCTGGAGAACAACAAAGTGTATACAACTTCGTATCCTTTGTTGGTACTGACGCGTTCCGGGTTGAAGAAAATGGGCGAGATTGAATTGGCCGTTCGGTTTGCCTGCCCGTCAATGTTACCGGATACTTGCTCAGTTTATGGGCAGCCACTGCTTCCTAGAATGCATTACTTACGGCCACTAGGCGTGGCCCAGCAGGAAGCGTTGCGTGGGGCTGCAACCAAAATGGTGGCCGCATGGCTGGGCCGGTCTGAACCCCCATTGGGCCCAGAGGTTGTGAGGTACATGTTGGATGCGGATTCTCATGCATGGAGCATGAGAAAGAGTAAAGCAAATTGGTTTCGGATCGTTGCGGTTCTTGCGTGGGCTATCGGGTTGGCTAAATGGTTGTATGATATTAGAAGGTGGAAGAATCCGGTGACTACAGTTTTAGTGCATGTGTTGTATTTGGTTCTTGTTTGGTACCCAGATTTGGTAGTACCAACTGGGTTTCTATACGTTGTGTTAATTGGAGTGTGGTATTATAGGTTCAGGCCCAAGACACCTTCGGGCATGGATACAAGATTATCACAGGCAGAAGCGGTTGACCCGGATGAGCTAGATGAAGAATTCGATTCAATACCCAGTTCAAAACCACCGGACATAGTTAGGATGAGGTATGATCGGTTACGGATGTTGGCTGCAAGGGTCCAAACAGTTTTGGGTGATTTTGCGACCCAAGGAGAGAGGGTTCAAGCTTTGGTAAGTTGGAGAGATCCAAGGGCCACTAAATTGTTCATTGGGGTTTGTTTAGTCATTACATTGGTACTGTACGCGGTCCCACCCAAAATGGTGGCTGTGGCACTAGGATTTTACTATTTAAGGCATCCCATGTTTAGAGACCCCATGCCGCCGGCTAGCTTGAACTTCTTCCGGCGGTTGCCCAGTTTATCGGACCGATTGATGTAGAGTTGAAGAGTAGATTAGGAATTAATAGTAAATTTTTAGGCAGCAAGTGGAAAGTGGTGGGGAAGAGGGTGGAACAAAGTTTACTGTTTGTGTTGAAAAGTTGTTCCTTAGTAACATTGTAAGGAGTGAAAAAAAAAAAAAAAGAGGGCGGGATTAAAAGGGAAAGTGGCTAGTTGTCATTATTGTCTTTTCTTTTTTTTTTTAATTAATTTTTTTTTATTTTTGTATTTGAATTCAATTGACTGTATTGAAAACTTGAAATAAGAAAAAGGAGAGAAAGAATTGAGTGAGAGAGGTTTCAATGATCCAGAAATTACTGTAAAAATGTCGCAAAAAGTATCGACACTGAGCTGCTTTCTGACATACAAAAATGCATTCACATCTAGTGTTGAGGTGAATAATAAGCTACCACTTCATTAAATCCCGGGAATTACTGATTAACTGAATGATATCCACACGAGCTCAACCATACTATAAAGTAACAGAGAGAGAGAGGATTCATTATTACTTTTTATAAGTAAGAATTCAATTATAAGTCAAGAAGTATGGCTGGCACTTGGCAGCTTTTAAGACATTTTTTCAAAAAAAATTGACTTGAGAATGTAATAATTTCTTCTGAGTGCTTAGACTACAGTTTTGAGAATCATTTGGCGCTACATAACACGGTAGCCTGATACTTTTTTTTTTTTTTTTCAATATTTGATTTACAATTTTGGAAGTTGGATTGTGCTCAGAAGTCAGATTGCATCTCCACTCTCCGATCTACATCTGGGAGACCAGACCATTTCTCCTTTATCCGATTTTAATCAAACAAAACAAGGAAATTATTAACCCATTATATATATATAATTAATATCTCCAAACTAGTTTACACACATTTATGGAGTTATCCCACAATATCGTATCTTTATATAAATCATGGATAAAAATATTATCTTTACATCGAATAGAGAATCGAGAATGAAATTTTTAAAAAAATCTCTAATTTATTATTATATCCTCAGTACTTTTAATAATTACAACCACCCCCTCAAATAATTAAACTTAAAAAAAATTAAATCAAATAATTAAATTTAAACCCAGAAACAAACTGAATGAAGTTTAGATTATAAATAAGGTCTATCTAATACAAATTTAATTACATAATTAACAATTAAGCCAGAAACAAATTAAACAAAAATTTAGATTATAAATAAATAAAATGCATTTTTATACAAACTTCATAAATTAAGGTCTTGATATACTATAACAAATTATTTATTAGTTTATGAATCATATAGGAAAATTATCAATGTTTTAAAACCTGGCCTAGCCCAACCTATTGAACCGATTCAACCGGGACTTGGGGCCTTCATTGGGTTGAGTTAGCAATTTTCATATTCACCAAAAACCCTAGAAATTGGAAAGGTGATCGGCGAATAATTGAAGGTCGGGATGTTGGGGCTTTTGAAGAGGAAGGGCCGATGAGTGCAATGGTGACGGCGGAGGTGATTTCCAGTGAGTGAATTTACCATAAATCAAAAAAACCCACAGTAGCAACAGTCGACTCTTCTGGCGATTGGTGAGGCGAACAGGGGTGGGGTGAGATGAGTTTTGGTCAAGAGGCTGAAGGAAGTATTTTCATGGTGATGGGAAGAGTTGACGCCGACAGTGGTGAGATTTAGCTTGGGTTGTCGATTTTGGCCAGGTCTTGGGTAGATTTTTTGGTGAATGGCTCAGGAGATGATTAGGATTGCATTTGGTGTGTTGCCCCCGCCAACCAGTCGACCACTAATTTTTATTTATGGTATGTTTGCTAAATTTCAAACATGTAGAGACTCAATTGTAATTTTTAAGGATGTATTTGCTGAATTTTAAACTTTTGGTCACACGGTCTGACTGCCCAATCAAACCAGTTAAACCGATCAACTTGAAACCCGACATCTTTGCCGAGTTTCACCCCAGATTGGTTATTAAAACATTGAAAATTATAATGGTATATAAATATTAAAGTTTTAATATTTATCAGTTGGAAATATTTTTAATTTCGCCCTCCTCATTTCAAAGTTCAAACTTCAAATCCTGGCTCGCCACTGGCCCACTGGTTATGAGTGGAGGTAATTAGGGAGAGAATATCTCTGGATCATTGAACTCTATCTCAGTGGGAGGCTAAGCGTGAAAAGTAGCAAAAAAACACAAAGTAAGACCTTTGGATTGAGAACAAATTTCGTGTGGATATTCACAATTCTCGCATAAAATAAACACAACCGTTAGCCATTAGTTAAGTGCATTAAAGCTTAAACATAGGAATACCAAAATAATAGGATGCGGATTAGAGAATAAAAAGGGTAAATATTGCATTATGCTTTACATTAATTAAACATTCAAGGCTTGGAAACCACATTCCAGCCCACCTTCAACAGCCTCAGAGGATTGGGTTTCCAGGTCTGTAATTCATTTGGCACTTTTACTGTTTCCTTTTTGTATTTTGGGTTGGGCAATCAACAATGGAGGGTTATGATTGTTGATCAAAACGTGAACTTTCAAAATATTGCACGTTGATTGGCAAAAACATGTGTACAATGAACATGACCACACATCATCAAAATAGTGATTGGAATGAAAATTAATATTGACCAAAAATGCATACTAGCATCGTTAATTAATTAACACGATTAAGATGACGGTTAATAATGCTTTATTGATTGAAATATGTTTGATATTTGGTTTGCAGAAGAAGCTCAATAACCAAGAATCTGGTGAATCAAGGTTAAAGTTAATATGGGAGAGACAGAAAAATCAGAAAAGAATGACAGTAAAGCCGAAGAGAAGGACAAGCATGAAAAGAAAGAGAAACACGAGGGTAAGGAGAATAAGGAGGAGGGAGATGATGAGAAAACTAAAGATAAGAAGAAGAAGAAGGACAAAGAATGTAAAGATAAGGAGGATAAAGAAGATGGTGGAAAGGAGAAGAAGAAAAAGAACCCTGGAGATAAAAAGGATCCAACGAAACTGAGGGCTAAGCTCGAAAAGATCGATGCCAAGATGCAGGAACTTGCTGCAAAGAAAGAAGAAGTTTTGAAAGTGCTTAATGAAGTCGAAAAAACTCCCACAAATCAAACCGGATGATGATCCTGCAGCTGCACCTAGCTTCCTCCCTCGCCCATCTCAGGTTACACTTGTTGTATGAAATGAATATATGCAAAAGCTTCAAGGACTTTTTGCATGCATATGCAGATATAGTTTATTATAGGAAACTGATGTATTTATATAATAAACACGAAAATAAAATATGTATCTTTGAATGATAAATGGTCAGAAGTTTGCAAAAGCAAAGGCAATTAAAAGTCTCTAGAGTGTATGATAATTCGATAACTTATGTGGGGAATGAAGCCTGGTCCGGGAGCATTGCAAGTATATAGGCAGAAAATTTTGCAATGATCCTCGACCAATCTTCATTCCAAACATTACAATTATCATGTATGCATACTTGCTTTCACTGAAGTATTTGATGCAAACAGTTTGCGAAGAGAAGGAAAATTGGGTGAAGCAAGAGATATTTTATACGGGAGCCCACTTATATTTAATATTGATAGCTAATCAAGATTGACTTCCAGGGAAAGGTGCATTATTTTTTCGTAGTTTTTTGCATGTTTCATACACAACTAATTAATGTTATCTTGATTAGAAAAAGAATAATTAGAATGACGAAAAATTCTATGATTGATGTGTAATAAAGTGATGAAATTTCACCTAATTTTATTAGCCAATCCAAGAAGATGATATTACTTGCTTAGTAAAGTTAGATGCAGATCATGCAGTGTCAAGTTTTTCTGAAAAAAGACAAGGCAAGATAATTGCTCAGTTTTCATGTATTATCCTGAACCGAATGAACCAGGGCACTTAATGTCTATAATCATATTATTATTACATGAAATTTAAAATTAATCATTTCTCACATGAAAAACAGTTTACTCAACTACCTCTGGGTGATCGAGTCGTTTGATAAGGATTCTTGGGTGTATTAATTAAGAGGTTTTGAGTTTGAATCACTCCTTGATTGCTAATAAGGGTAGACATGGGAGCTCTTATCCGGCCGATAGGTACTTCTAAAGTCCCAAGAGATTAATTCAAATATGTGTAAGATGTCTAGACACCCCGGCCAAAAAAAAAAAAAAAATTTCAGTTTACTCTATTTAGGAATGCTTAATTAGAACTTGCATGTATGCACAGGTCACATGGTTTCCTTTTATCGCGAGCGTATAAACATTTATCAGAGAAGTAATCCAATTGATCTGCACCAGTACTACTTGGAAGCTTTCTTGACGTACTTACAAACAAATTGAATGGAGTATCTTTACTTGTTTAATCTGGTTAAGTTCATCTAAGCTGTTTAAAGAATTATCTGATGTAAATTTTAAGCAAGTGGCAATTAAGCTCTCAGTACAATTTCAGCAGAGATGTATGACTTCACTTCCCTTCAATTTTTGCTTAAAGTTTCATCATCAATACGTCCATCTTGGAGCTACATGTGGGAACTATGACAAAAGTATATGGTGAATGGGTGTTGATGGGGCTTGCAATGAGCTGAAGATGAATGAATTCTTGGAAATTTCCCTTTATATGGTTGGTCCTACATCAGGAAACTTCCTCTTCGGCTTATTCTATCCATTCTCAATAAATTAAACCTCGTTGCCAACAAATCATAATAGGTTAAAATATAAGTGTGGTCTTTACTGTTTTTAAGTTTAAACCTGAAATGAGCAGTTCTCCCGGTTTATACTTCCACATTGGCAAAAAAGCCACAGGTTGTATCATTCTTTACATCTTCCCATTTTTTTAATTTTAATGCTTTTGATTTTTACTTCACGTTACAATTGATTGATATTTGCTAATACTTTGCTTGTTCTCATTTTTTTAGATCTTCTTTACAAGGGTTATGCTCAGCAACCACCATTTCACTTCAGTTACCAATGGGTCGACTGGAATGTTGATCTCTCCTGTCAAAGTAATTGATCTACCATCAATCTGATATATAATGAAATTGAAATTTCTCTTTCAGTGTCTCATTTTCCATGTAATTGTAAACTCTGCTTGCATATTGTGTCAATGAGAGGCATCATGTAATTATATTTTTAACTTCAATACAGTGGAAAGTATTGTGCCTGGACTGCAAACGGCTTTAAGATTTACCATTCCTGATTCTGGAAAGGTATGAACATTATTATCTCCTTTTTGACAATTCTATCAGAACTTTTCCATGACGAATAGTTAAAATGTGATGCAATAAGTCCACACATGCTCAGTATTAGAACAAATATAATTGAAATTAATTGCAGGTGGAACTACGATTCTTGCACGACTATGTTGGGATTACTGCAGGCTCTGGATTGAAGATGAGCAACCACCACTCTATAGGAAATGAACCCTCTATAGGACTCGACCCTGTCGTTAATTTTTCAGGTGTAATTGGAACCGATTTAGTCTCCCTTGGGACTGATATCGCCTTTGACATGTCAGCAAGCACATTCAACAAAATCAATGCCGGTTTAACCTTCAATAGTCCTTTCCTTGTTGCTTCATTGACCTTGTGAGCAACCCTATGAGAAAAGTCGAAAAGACTAAACCAAGATTCTTTGTTTTCCTTAATTCAACCTTTAAAATTTGTTACCTGATTTTCAAGGAACTAATGCTAAGCCTTTATAATAATGCAGGAATGATAAACTTGACACTTTAAAAGCTTCCTATTACCAACCACTGAACCCCCTGTCCAGGAGTGCCATTGCTGCGGAATTGAAGCATAGTTTTTTTATTGAAAGGACGACCATCTTGACAGTTGGTGGCCAGCATTGCACTGTCTCCTTCTACATGGTGAAGGCTCGTATGGACGTAACGGCAAGGTGGGTGCTCTTATTCAGCAAGGTTTCTGGCAAAGTTCTTCCTATCATTGCTGGAGAATGATTTTAAGGACAACGACAGGAGGCGTCCCAAGATCGGTCTTCTGCGGCTCTCGCGCTTAAAGTAATATACTATATAGAAGATGTTTTATGTTCAGAAGACACTAATAACAACAGCATCTAATGATTGTAATTTCACTGGTGCGTTAGTTATATGAGTAAAACTACACTTACAAAAAAAAAATATAAGATCTTTATACAAAGTGATGTGACAAAAATGAATTAAATAATAAATTTAATAAGTTTGACTTTTGTTTTTACTCTTTCATTTATTTTTTGTCACCTCACTTGTTATAGAAATTTTTGTAAGATTTCTTTGTAAGTATAGTATTATGTAATTATATCTTCGTATCTTCAATCAAGCATGTAATGGGGGAAATTATTCTCTTGGTTAACCTGTAGTACCTTGATGGAGCATTGGAAATATGTATTCAGCTTTTCATAAAGAATGATAAATAATAACAAAAAAATTTATTCCTCTGCGTTTTCATCAGGAAAATTTAGGATTGGTTTGACAATGCATTTGAACTGCAAGCTGCTAATACTTTTTTATAATATAAACCTAAACCCTGAACCCTAGAAAAGAAATGAAATTTGTCAGTAAATGGCGAAATTTCAGATATTTAGAGATTTTTTATCAAATCATGTTGCAGACCTTTAAAGTGCAGCTGCTACTGTTTATCTGTAAATGCTGTGACCGAATGTAACAAGTGAACAAATTGCAGAAGGCCTCTTCATGAAGCAGACATAACTGGTGCTGTCATGACGCAGAGGTTTAACTATACGGGTTTGTCACTTTGATATTCAAGCAGTTTTTATATAGCTAGCTTGAGAACTAATTGACAATCATAATAACAACAGAAAACATGGAAAATTAAACGAAAAAGAAATACCCTTACTTGTCCAGAATATAACCCAAGTTAAGCCTTGATTTTAACAAATACGGGTGGCTAACCTGAAGAAGGCCATCACGGATGTGCAGCTACATTACGAACAGCACCAGGTCCAGGGGAATGAAGATAGTGAGGACTTAGAAGCAGCACCAATTTCCTTCACGGTGTCAAAGTATTGGGACCCTGTCCATGACATCCTCTGAAGTGGTTCCTGGCACATTCATGAAGAATCCTAGCACACGTCTCAAGCAATACCAAGCCCTGTGCAATACCAAGCCCTGCAGATATTTGGCCTCAGCTTCACTTCAGCTCTCTTGATATGTAAAAGTTTCTCTGCCTCTGCCTTTTCACTCGCTGCCACTCTCAGTCTTGCAGCTGAGAGAGTACAAAACAGTTAGAAAATTTCATTTGAACAAAATGTAGGAGTGTTAAACATGTGTGCCTGGCAAATCAGGAAGTTTTGTCAGTTATTTGAGGAAAACAAAGAAAGAAAATAGTATAGAAAAATTTATACTTACAACTGAGTTATACAAAAAACAAACAAAAAACAAATGACAAAATAGTATTTACATGGATTTTGTGTAATTTTTATCTGTTTGTATGATTCAGTTATAAGCAAAACATTATTAAATAGTATAATTCCTTATAACACGCGAAGAGAAGAAAAAGGATATTTGGTGTATTTTCACCTATGTAATTTCCTAGACCAAATTAGTACATAAATTGACAATACTGTCAGAGGAAAAGAGATTCGACCCATATGGAACCATGGAAAGGAACTTTCCCTAAAGAACCGCTATTTTATATGTACAGTTAAGCAAGATGCTATGCAACAACCTATGATTGAGGGAAAAATCAAAGAGTTTTACACTTACCAGTTTATGTTGGAACTAGATAATTTACCAGCGCTAATGTCATCCGCCCCCCTTCACATGCTTACTGGTTCAATCTCAACAATGAGTGTTTGAACGATCTCATACCCGTAAGCAGACATAACCTGTGAGAAAAATGAGAAAACATTATAAACACTATCTCACATAAGCTCCCCAATAAACAGAAACTAATGAAGGTTGTCCTCCACAACATTCATAAAATCACTTGATTACCTTTTCAAGTTCATCTTCCACAGCTTTTGCAATTTCTTTCTTTTTTTGGTTCGAAAGCATCATCCAGATTTAGCCTCAGAACACTTGCCCTAATCACGAACAATTGGATAGAGGATGATATATATATATATATGCACACCTTACAAGAACATACATGTGATTGTGTGTATAATTAAAAGCACAAAATGTAACTCAAATGGTAGATTATTTTGTACCATCAAATCATATGCCTGAATTTGTGACTTTGTGTTGCTGAGTTTGTAGAATGTATCACTGGCCTTATCTACCAGGGCACGATATTGAACAAATGCAACAACACTGATGAAGACATTGCCCTGGTAAATAATTCCAGCAATGTTACATATGCAATAAAGATAATGACATAACCAACTGAGGTGAAAATAAATCTATAATGAGTTATACAGACGGACATACCTTGTTTTGGTTTTACAGCGCACATCTAACTGCCTCTACCTAAGAGACAGATGACCAGCCATCTGATGTCCAAGGATCCATGGTAAGCAATGGAATCCAGGTTCAAGTACCTCCTAAACTTGCCAAATCTCTCCTTAATAACTCCTGGGACTGCTCAGCTTGTATGCGCACAACAGATTACCCATGTTCAATTCAACACAAAAATGACGATTTGGAAGAGGAGACTTACAAAAGATACGAGGAGCAAAGCACAAATGAGTGACAGAGTATATGAGTAACAACTCTAAATATGACCAGACACTGGCCGAGGAAAGGAAACGTCTCAAATATATCTTGCTTATATGAAAATTTGCAATATGAATATCCAACAAAGGCAAGTCTATCATTTGATGGAACTTTTACAAGATAGAAGAGATATCAAAATTTAATATCTGAGCTGCAGCACAAGACCAGACTTAGTGAAAGCTATGAATGAGAAGAATTATTATTGATGAAGTATTAAATAAACCTCAAAATTAGGGCCTTAGTAGTGTTAAAAAACAAACGTACAGAACTAGAACAGTAAATTTTCTGTCAACATACAATTAACGGGTAACATGATTAGAAATACTAAACAACAATTCTGAAATGTATACATTTACAGGGGATTGTCAACCTTTAGATAATGATCACTAACCTAATAAAGGCCTAAAATGACGAAGAAAAATGAAGATGTTTATTAATTTAAAATAGGATTTGCTTGATGTTTCCTCTGAGACACATGTCATAATAGGATAGTATTTACTCATAATTTATGTGGAAGTGAGCCATCAATCTGGTATTATTGAATATAAATTCCCATCAATCACAAGATATTTGGGAATTTGTATGGCTGTATACCACCAATCCATCTGTTTCGGTTACTATGATTCTAAAAGCATTCACATGTTTCATCTCATAAATAACTCGAAGCAATTCAATTTCCACATAAATAGCAAACAGTTTATACCCGGCTGCATCCTTGTTTCACAGCAATTTTCCACTGAAGTCTTTGATAGATCAATAACCAGAGAGTTTTAAGTGATTCTGGTAAAAGAATGAAGAAAATATATGAAATTGTGTGTCATATTTTGTGATGGTTATTTCTCATGCCATATTGTGCCGTGTGTTATATGACATTATGGTGCAGAACTTTCTGATAAGGATACTGGCATTTGAAGAGCACCAGCAAGCTCCTGTTGAAATGCATAATTGGTGTGATAAAATGTATGCAGATAATAAGAATGAGGCATCAGCATGGTCCCTTTATAAGTCAAAGTTACTATAATCTATTACCAAGTACGCACATTATCTTCATAGAGCAGAATAACTTGCTTAATATCATATGCACGCTAGTAGCTGTAATAGATTGTCAATTAACAAAACCAGACGCATGAAAACTTGATGGAAATCACAAATGCATGACTGTTATCCAAACATCAACGCCATATATGCCTTGATAAGTAGCAAATTACTGTTGAGAAGCAGCCTGAAGAAGTCCATCACGGATCTGGGTAGCTACATCACGAACAGCACCAGGTCCATGGGGAATGAAGACAGCAGAGGATTTTGAAGCAGCACCAATTTCCTTCATTGTGTCAAAGTATTGGGTGACCAGGACCATGTCCATCACATCCTTTGCAGTAGTCCCTGGAACATTGATAGAGAACCCCAGCACACTATCTCTCAATCCATCTACAATTGCTTGTCTCTGGCGGGCAATACCAAGCCCTGAGAGATATTTGGACTCTGCTTCACCTTCAGCTCTTTTGATTTGTAAAATTTTCTCTGCCTCAGCTTTTTCATTCGCCGCCACCCTCAGTCTTGCAGCTGAAAGAGTAAAAAACAATAAGAACATTTCATTGAACAAAATCATACTTTGAGATTTCAAATTTCTCTGAAAAATGAACATTATATAATGAAATGGCAGGATCATAGGCAATGACTAATTGGTATATCACCATCCAAGAGCTATGTCATGCTTCTGATATGAATACAGTGGACAACAAATTTATCTGCATCGAGATATTTTTCCCCTTTAGCGTTGCAACAGTTCTGAGAAGCTAGTATCTTCCTGCAACGTTAGTGAAATATACTAATATAACGTCCCCGGGCAACTCATATAGAAAATGTTTTTTTTTTTTCATTCGGAGAAAAGTTATCGATATACATAAACTTAATTCTTTGTTAAAAACACGAAGGCCACAAGAACAAGAATGTCTGTTTGATATGTTTTCATCTCAATAATTCCTAAGCTAAAATCAAGTGCTTATAAAAATGACATCAGAGTCTGAGAACATGAAATTCTGCCCATCAGAGTTCAAGATAAAATGTAGGAAGACATTGGTAAAGGGGGTATGCCCCTCAGAAATCTGCCACTGTCTAATGTGCAGAATACAGTTAAACTAGTTGCTCATCTAAATCAGAGGACAATTTAAAAAAAGTTTTGTACTCATCAACTTAGTGGAGATAAATAAAATACTTTACCAGCATTAATTTCATTCATTGCCCGCTTCACATGCTCATCTGGTTCAATGTCAACAATGAGTGTTTGCACTATCTCATACCCATAAGCAGACATAGCCTGTGGGAAATAATGGAGAAAACAGTACAAACACATAAGCTTCACTATTTAAACCAACTAGTGGTCATGTACCACAAGAAAATGAAGTTTGGCTCTCACAATAACAGCTATGCATATAGAATAATATTGATTACCTTTTCGAGTTCATCTTCCACAGCTTTAGCTATTTCATTTTTTTGTTCAAAAGCATCATCCAGATTTAGCTTGGGAACACTTGCCCTAATCACTAAACAATTGGGTGGAAGATGATAAATAACATACAAGTACATCCTTGTGATGCTGTGTTGTGTGAGTGAAAGCACTACACGTATTTCAAATGGCGTTAAGTAAAGATTTAATTTGTACCATCAAATACATATGCCTGAATTTGGAGCCTTGTGTTGCTGAGTTTGTAGAAAGCATCACTTGCATTATCTGCCAGGGCACGATATTGAATAGACGCAACAACATTGACAAAAACATTGTCCTGGTTAATTGCCAAAAAGATTTATTTGTCTCAGTGGTAGTGTCTCTATTTCTCCCAACCCCCACATATAGAGATAATAATAATTTCAAGATAAGTTACAGATGCCAAAAAGAGTGTGACATAACTGAGGTTAAATTATATTTATAAAGAGTTATATAGACAGACCTTTGTTTTGGTTTCACAACGCACATCTAACTGCTGCAACCTCAGAGACAAGTGGCCGGCAATCTGATGTCCGAGGAACCATGGTAGGCAATGGCATCCAGGTTCAAGGACGTCATCAAACTTGCCAAATTTCTCCTTAATCAGTACTGTGGACTGGTCAACTTGTACACAACAGAACAGATTCCCCATCTGCTTAATACTGTAATATGTTAAAAAATGCAGAAGTCAAATATGTTTAATTTAAGAATTGTATGTTTCAATTCATTGATTTCTACTACAAGGTTACAAACATTACATAGGAAGAGCTCACATAATTAAGAGATTACAAAATATCAAGAGTATCCTACAATATATTGACATAATTAAGTATCCTACAATATACTAACATAAATAGGAGATTACAAAATTTTCAGTAAATCTCAACACTCGCTCTCAAGTTGGTGCGTATATGTTACACATGCCCAATTTGTCTAAAACTTATGAGAATATACGTGAATGGTAACTTAACATGGTATCAGAGTCAAAGATCTTAAGTTCGAATCTCCACATATAAGCTGGATAAAGAAAAATGACAAAAAATCCAAAGTTTGATGTGAGGGAGCCTATTGATCTAATATATGTTGAGCCCTCAGCTACTAGCTTAAGTTTTTAGGTGGAATGGCAAGTTAACAAAATAGAAAGGATTGAAAAAAGAAAACGATAATTATTACTCTATGCTATGTGGTCATAGTGAGATAGACGAAGTAACCTAAGCCAGTAAAGATCAACAGAATGAACAGTGAGAAAAACAGAAGAATTCTGGAAATTTTAGTGATGAGAATTACTGCAGATTTTGCTGTGAAGCTTAGTTTATATACACTTTACAATAACAGCAAGTAACAGACTTCCTAGATATACGGGCTCACGCTAAAAACCCTCTAACTTCTCTGCTCTGCACCGACTAGTGACTAATACAGTCCACCTCGGCAACCAAGTCATGGTTACTTGGCACAGATTTTACAAGACCAGCATTAGCTTAACATATCAGCGAAGCAATATATAATTTTTCAAAAGATACATCAGTGTATCTAAAATCTGTCACAATTTGATCATTACTCATTATGAAGGAACACAGAAATAGATAATAACCACAGAAGAAAGATGCACATAACAAAGTATTCGTACTAAAAACTTGTGTCACTTAGAAACCCAGAAACCCAATTCCTAGTGTCACTTAGAGGTGGTAAACCGGAACAAATAAACAACAACAACAACAACCAAGAAGAGCCTTTCAGTTCGATTCAACCCCCAAAAATTAGTAAGAGAAAGATGGGAATTAACATTCAAATGAGAAGTAGGAGACTTACAATACTCCGTAGGAGAAGAATGCAATGAAATGACTGATAGAAAGATAAGAATGACAACCATAAGAAAGGGACTTAAATATAACCTAGAGCCTTGCCTAGGAAACCTCTTCAAAATTGTTACGATACTGCAAAATATCGAGAGTTTGTCTTTAATTCAAAAGAGGATTGCAGCAATTAAGCACCGAATATGGTTCTAAGTCTACCAATAAAGGGAAGTCGAGTCAACCACTACAAACTTTCACTGTGTTGTTCTATGAATAGAAATCCAGGAAAGCTCTAAGAAGTTTCGCCACATGAAAGGAATATTAATGCATAGGATTACGCCAACCCTTAAGGAATAATAAACAGCAATGAACAAGACGTAATGATATGATACAATCTAAGGGTAACATTAAGAAATGATAAGATTAAGGAATAATGAACAACAATGAACAAGATGTAATGAGAAAATGACAAATAAAAACGAAAGATGCTTTGACAATGTAATTATAAAAATATGAAAACTATTGGTTTGCCGTCCCAATTAAGCAAGATACAACTAAGCTTCGTACTGTTGTTTTCTTAATTTTCATTGGTAAAATCATTAATTGATAATGACAAATTAGATATCAATATGAATGGATTTGAACAGCAAGCAACCATGAAAAGGAAAGTGTAAAGAAAAAAAAAAAGTTAACAGTAACAGAAATGGACCCAGAAATGGTTTCAGAGAGACTTAAAAGTAGAAGAAACTCACCTTTAAAATTCTTCACATGCAAAACTTGGTCAGTTTTTCTTAGATATATAATAAAAGGTAAAAACGAGTATAGCATGATAGCATCAGCATCCACCGGTAAAGAAGAAGAAACTGTGGGCATAAAACAGAAACGAAGAACGCGGATTCCCATATCTATAAACATTTTGCCATTTATATTCATCTAATAATATATCTCTATAAATAAACATGGTTATTGCTGTATATTTGTGAAATAAAAAGTTTGTAATTTGGTTATACTTTGATATTGGATTCTTTTTGGATTTTTTATTAATATTAAAATTCAATACATACTGTTCTTGCTACGTGGGTATAGATAAAGATGTTGACTTTATTTGGAAGTGAATAAGTTAAAGCATTGGAGACAAGGTGATGATTCGAAATCCTTTGCATTCGCAGAAATAATAATACAATATTTTATAATTTATATAATATAACATTAAAGCTGGTCAAGATCAAGCCCCAATGAAATTTCTGAAGTACAAGTGTAAAAAGTTACACTATAAAGGAGAAATAGGGATATGAAATAAGTTACACCATCAGGAACAAAAATAAGGATATGAAATAAGAATAATACTCTACTTATAAAGAAATTTTATAAAGATCTTTATATAAAATGATGTAATAAAAAATGAATGGATATAAAGAAATCTTATAAGGATCTTCATACAAAATAATGTGATAAAAAATAAATAGTTTTTTGTTTCACTCTTTTATTTATTTTTTGTCACCTTACTTTGTATGGAAATCTTTGTAAGATTTCTCTGTAATTATAGTATTATTGATGAAATAAATAAGAGTTTGCCTTAAAAGAATCTTTCCTCAAAAAGTTTTAAAATACCACTTTCCCACCCAAAGTTTATATTTCGCTAATATTGAAAATACACTTCCCTTTTTTAGCCGACGTTCAACAAGTTACCAAGAGTCAGGGTAAGAGGGGTTTAGTAGAGTCGATTGAATGGTGGTGACCGATTAAATATTCTGTTAGGGTAGGTGCACTAGAGCTAATAATATTACATTTGTAATAATATTATTGAATATCAATAAAGGCATAACTTCTATATCATAGCATTAATTTATATATTCGTATACATATTGATATATGTCCTTAGAAGGGTTGAACCATAACAAGGGACTTAAGTATTCTAAATCTTAATTGTGATGACCCTATGATCACATATGGTGTCATTTTTAGAACTATCTGTAGCCTTAGTATTAATCTAACCAAGGACACAGATTATACGGTAAGGTTATCATAGCGTTGAACGACTCTACCGAAAGGTAGTGATAGTTTTCACATGTCAAGGTTGTTAGGTGACAACCTAGTGCGAAGCATGGGTGCCTATTAATGACAAGTTCACTGAACCGACCCACCGGAGGATTCCATATAAGATGGTGATAGCAATGTCTGTGAAATATATCCACCAAAAGATGGTGGTGCATGTGATCCCTCGACTTGAGATCACCAGAGCGTCGTGTGTAATTATTGATGTAATTTGACACTAGTCTAACGTAATCCTATTTAGAGTTATCAGTATGGTAGTCGTTGGTTACATCGAGAAGTACACTATGGCTATGGTGGATCAACAAAGAATTCATCACTCCTAGTTACAGGAGAAATTATCTCGCTAAGATATTCAGTTAGGAACTACGACCGCAAAATCTGTAGCCACAGTGGAATTGAGTTAGTGCTCGAATCCAATTTATATGACCGTTGATTCGACAACCGAATATAAACATATCAAGGTAAATTCATTGAAGTTGACACTACTTCTGTACTTTAAACCTTAATGAGATAAATAATGATGAAATAATTGAATTGCATGGTAACCATACTGTTGAAATGTAACTACTTCACTGAGTCTTTATTTGTTGGGTAATCATGATGTCTTACTAGAGGTCAATCTTGATTAGTGTACGGAACACTAATTAGTTGATGATTAATTAAAAATCCGGTCATTGTCAACATAATAAAGAGCCTACAAGTCACACACATTAAAGACAGTTTTATTGAGAATGAATATGGAAGGGTAATTTCGTCTTTTAGATAAAAAAATGTATTTTGGTAATTCTGCTGTGCAATTAAATTCGCTGAAGGTCGTTGCCCAAATTCAATAATTATATTGAGGCTAATTTAGCAAAATTATAATTGTATTAATATTAATATAAAACATTAATATTAATGTGGATTAAATATATAGAATAAATATATTTAATTATATTAAATATATTTTATATCCCATTAATTAAATATATGGATAAATAAATATTCATATCTATTTATTAGGAATATATATTTAAATTGGGAATTATCCTATTTTAAAATATTAATATATATTTAATTGGGAAATATCCTATTCCAAAATAGGAATAGAAATATTCCTGTTCTTAGTGGGGAATATTTTATTCCCCACTATAAAAGAAAAGGGATAGGAGAGTTCATTATTTTCTCCCAAAGGAAAACCCTAGCCACCCATTAAGTTTTTTACAGAGAAATTCTTTCTCCCAAATTTGCGTCTTCTCTCTTATTACACCCAAGGATTCTAGCAAACTTCCCTGCGTGTGGATTAGCCTTCTTGCCTTTGTGTGGACTTCTTAGGAGCGATTCCATCTTGAATCGAATAGCAAAAAGTAAATCAAAGAACCCGAAGGAGCCTCCAAACGCAAGTAATAACAACAAAACTTATATGGGTTGTTTTTATTTTATAAACGGATTGCGTATATCAATCTTGATCGTGGGATTAATAGGTTAAATTGAATAAATTTTGTTTTATATTTCACGTATAATTCAATAAAAACCTTACAAACCGTCGGAATCAGCCGAAAATCAGTTGAAAACAGAAAACTCTAGCTTTGCAGTGGCTAGCAATCGACGAGAAATCAAGTGTCGAAGCGAGAGGGGTTTTGTAAAGAAGAAACCAGAGGTTCAAATGGTAGTGACAAAGAGAATTTTTGCCACCGACGTCAGCTTTAGGAATTAATGGAATATAAACTTTGGATTGAAATGTGGTATTTTGAAAACTCTTTGGGTGGGAAAGTGTCATTAAGGCAAACCTTGGGTGGAAAAAAGCCGTTCACTTCATGAAATAATTTTATCTTAAGTCCAATATAATAAACATATGTACTGTATCAAATCCACAGGATCACAAAGTATATAACTTATAGAGGTGGGAATTTGGGTCTTGGCCCAATGGGATGCCCAAAAAACGCACCCAAGACCAGCCTTTAGGAGGACTCATCCTATAGGGCCTGGGCCCAGACCTAGGCCCAAAAGGAGGGACTGGTCCTTAGGTTGGTCCCTCCTCCAAGGCTCGGGCCTAAAACCAATCCCAAGCCCGGGCCCAAACCCCCACCCTTTTTTTCTTATACACCCTTGGCAAATATCAAAACCCCCTGTTTTATGTTGAATTGATAATAAATATAAGGGTTAAACTAAAAATTTACAATATATATATTCGACCGTTGAGCCAACGGTCATGGGGGGGGAAGTTTTTTTTCTTTCACTTTCCTCCCAAACCTAAACTATAAATAACCCCATTTTCCTCCATTTTCCTCACAACTCACAACCATAAATCTCTCATTCTCTCTTCTCCAATTCTCAAACTCTCTTCAATTTATATTTATATTTATTCATTTATTATTTATTTTATTCAATTTCTTCCATTTTTCAATTTCATCTATTATTCATATTATTCAATTTCTTCCATTTTAGTTATTTATTATTTTATCATAAATTCATAATGGATTCCCGAAATTATGCATTTAAAAGATCATCCCCAAATGAGTATTATGTTCCATCCACCAAAGAAATAGAAGAGTTCGATCAATTTTTCACCTTTTCTAGAGGCAGCAATTCCACAACCAAAAACAATTGGGACTGCGTGCAGCCAAACACAAGTGAGTTGCGACACCACGAGCATGACAAGACCGTCAAAGAGGGTTATGTCCGGGGTATGACAATACTTCATCAAATCAAAACAGGCAAAGCCAAATGGGGAGGGGGAAGAAACTTGCGGTGTATGTAATTTTTTTGCAATCATTATCGACATTGAGTACGGGACTTCGATGATGCGGCAGCACCTAGAGAAGAAGCACCCCCAATATATGCAGTCAAGACCATATGGTTCAACTTCAATGACACCTAGTAAGCAAATTCAAACTCAACTTAATTTTAATCCACAATCCTCAACTCTCTCAACCCGGCAATACAATGCACACAAAGCACGAGAGGCAATAGCAAGATACATAGTTGCTACGGACTCTCATCTTTCTTTATTTGAAAATCCTTATTTTGTTGAAATGATTAAAGATGTTTTTTGTCCAGCATATAGCCTTGTTAGTAGAGATATAAGTAGAAGAGACATACTAAAACTTTATAATAAAATAAGAGATCAACTTAAAAGAGAATTTGTAAATTTTAGGAATATATTTATTGCACTTACTTCAGACATATGGACTGCTTGATCAAAAACATATTTTTTTAGTGTCACAATACATTAACTAGATTATAGTTGGCATTTACAACAAAAATTGATAGGTTTTAAACCATTATATGCAAAACATAGTGCTGTGATAATTTATTTTACAATTATTGAAAATTTGCAAGATTATTTATTAACAGAGAGAGTTATGGCGCTAACGTTTGATAATGCAGCAGCCAACACCGCGACAATTTCTTTATTTGAAAAGAGATTGGGTCCACATGGTGACAAATTTTTTTTTCACTAGATATGTGCTTGTCACATCATCAATTTAATTGTTAAAGTAGGTTTAAAAGCTATACATTCGAGGATTGAAAGTTGCGTATGACTATCAGATTCATCGCTAGTAGCAATACAAGATGGACGAAGCATGTAAAATATTATTGCCAAGAGGAGTTGTCAAATCGACCAAAGAAGTTATGTACGGACATGTCTATCTGTTGGAACTCCATGTACTTGATGTTGTAAAGAGTTATGCCAACCGCAAGACAAATTACAGAGTTTATCAACCGGAAGAACTATCCGGACTGTAACACCTACTGAAAACTGTACAATGCATGCATAATAACAATAGAAAAGTTGGGCCCAAAGTTTTCTTTTCATTACAATTCATGTGTCTTTTACTTACATAAAGAGTATTGTTTACAAAAATGTATTTTAAAAGACAAAACAGGGGAAACAGTGTAGCTATTCCTCATTGCTTGCCGACGCCCCTCCGACCGCAACATCACCTAGAACCTGCATCCACAAAGGAAAATAACGGGGTGAGCACAAAATAATGCTCAGTAAGTAAAACTCTCTATCTGTCTGTCCCCGTATGAATAACTCTTAATTCTTTCCTTATGCTATCTCTGATTCTATTTCTGTTTCTAATAACATCATGGCCTCATCTTACCGGAGGTACGGCCGGATGGCGTTCACACAGCACCATCTCACTCTCTATGGCTATCGGGTGGAATTCACACAGTACCAACCCGTTCTTAGTGACTACCGAGTGAGGATCACAAAGCACCAACTCGGTTCTTTCTAACTATCGGGTGGAGATCACCTAGCGCCTACCCGTTCCTCATGAATTTTGGGTAACGATCACCAAGCATTTACCCGTCTCTAGTCACTATCGGGTGATGGTCACAAAGCATCAACCCGTTTCTACTAAATATCGGATGATGATCACAAAGCATCAACCTACTTATCTATCACTAACCGGGTAGCGGTCACAAAGCATCTACCCATCTCTACTACTCATCGGGTGACGATCACAAAGCATCGACCCATCACTCTAAGGGCTATTCGGATGATGATCACCAAGCATCAATCCGATTCCCATAACGGTCGGGTGATGATCACAAAGCATCATCCCAACTATACTACTCTTCTAATTCATTCTATTGTAGCATTTTTCAATGCTCTCTACTCTTAGAGTAATTTTACCCACTAAGCTCTCTACTCATAGGGTAATTGCATAAACCATTTCCTTACACTTTCTTAGGTCACTTTTCCATGTACAACTAGTGCCTATGGATGGTTCATCTTCACCAATGCACTTATGAGATGCCAACATGCAATGTTGCAAGAATTAAGGTTCATTTCTCACACTCAAACCTCTATTAGGCATTTCATCAAACAACTCATGTGCACTACAAAACTCTATCATAGCCATGATTCTAAAACTTTTCTTAACCATCCAAAATGGGGAAAAACCCCTTCACAAAGCCACAAAACCTGCCATAGAAAACACTTCCAAAAAGGGAATACATAATACCCCTTAAATTCCATCTCAACTACCTTGCCAAACCAACAACCCATTTCTCAAATTTGCAAGGTATAAACAATCACAAAGCATAGAAATCTCTATTTAATCCTTCATACATGCTATATTACATGCACATCACATACATACATCATTTCTATCAAAACCCTAATCAAGAAAATTCATAAATCTCAACTTGGGTTGGGTTTTACTTACCTTGTTAAGGAGAGACTTCACAAACTCTTCCTTTCACTTGTTTAGCTTGACTTCTCCTCTAATCTTAACCAAAAGAATGAAAACCCTCAAACTTCAATATGGGTTAAAACTCCCAAATCACACAACTTAAGAAGAAATCCTTACCTTAGGAAGCCTTAGGTTGCTTTTCTACCCCAAATCCCTTCAAAAATCCCTTGAAAATCCTTGATCAAAAGAAAAGAGAAGTTGAGAGGAGAAGAATGAAGAGTCACGTTTGAGAAGAAGAAATGAGGGGTTTCTTTGATTCTAATTCCTTTTAATGAAATATTAACACACTCATTCCCATTTTGCCCTTGTTCTACTTTGGGAATTCCATCCATATCCTTTGATTCATTACAAACTCACCCCTATCTCAACCTATTCTCCATGAAATATCCTTACAATTAACTCCCCACTTTTCCTGCTAATTAGGGGTAGAAAGGTCAAATTGTCCTTAAGGAAGAAAATATCTAAAACTCAATCAACCTTTTATTCGGCCCGTCGCCGCGGCGAAGAAACCTCTGTCGCCGCGGCGAAACTGTCCAGGGAGTTCCCCTTGTTTTCAACACATCTTCGCCGCAGCGAAGCTTCTTCTTCGCCCCGGCGAAGCACGGCAGACTGAACTTCTTCTGTTTTCATCCAATTTTCAGGGCAAACATTCAACACAACACTCAAACAAATAATAATAACAAAAACCAACTCGATTAAGGGAAAAAGAGGAAACAATAACAACGTACCTCAAGCGGGGCGTTACACGGACGAAGTCATCAATGATGATGACTAAACATTTTGCAATGTTTTTCATTCATTTCTTAAAGTTTTTTACGATTCCACTAATACATTAAGTGGTATTTACTAATGTAGAGTTATATATTTTACTTCATATTTCTAAAATTTTTGCTAAACATAGATATGATGCAAAGTTAAGTGACATTATTTTAAAAATGGAAACAAAATACCAAAAATATTGGTTAGATATTCTTTTCTTATATGGATTAGGTTTTATTGTAGATCCTAGGTTTAAATTAAACGTATTTAAATGTATGGTTACTGAGATAGGCTAACATTTAGATCATGACTATAGTTCTTATTCGATAGACTTTAACAGAAAATTAAAAGCTTTTTTTCTTTATATCATACTAGGTACAATGGAACGCCCAACGCTTGCAGAGACGACCAACAGGAGACATTTATCAATAAGGATCTAGCATGTGGACGTATATGAAACTCAATAGCGATGGTGGTGGAAGTAGCAACTCCAACTCGTACAAGCATGGACCAAATGAATTTTATCAGTACCTACAAATAGACATGTCCTACATAATGAAGAAGGAGAAACGTGAGATGAGTCTGCTTCAATGGTAAAGCCAAAATACAAGTTGATTCCCCATTGTAGCCTAAATGACACGTGACATTTTATCTGTGCCAGTTTCGATAATGACATCCAAGTCAACATTCTCAATTAGTGGCCGTATTGTTGAAGACAAAAGATGCTCTTTAACCAATGAGTTGGTTGAAGTCATAACACGTTGACGGGATTGGACTCATATAGACTAAAGACTATAGCATCACCCTGAAGATCTCGAACTACTAGACCTCTTCAGAAACACAGATTTGGATTATGTAAATTAATTTAATAAAAACAAATTTGTTTAATTGTTTATTTGTGAAGTGTGACTATTATATTCATCTTTAAATTAAATTATCTCTTTAAAGTTTACATTAAAAACACCCTAAATTTTTAACCAATTACCATTCATTTATATTTATTTACTAATTAATTAAAAAATTCACAAATCACCCCCTAAAAAATTACATAAACCCCTACATAACTTTCGATTTAGCAAATATAAAAAAAATTAAAGAGGTATTGGTAATTTTCTAGGCCTATAGGACTTGTCCTATGGGTCTAAGGACCGGTCTAGGCCTTGATATTTCTCATGAGCCTAGGACCGATCCCAAGTCCATGAGAATGGTCCTTGCTTGAAGGACTGGTCCCATTTTGGGACCAGTCCTTCAAGGCCCAATCTTGGGCCCGATTGGGACTGGGCTCTAATAACTTAATACACTTTTATGGACATCAAGAGGTGTTTGATTAGACTTTGGGCAAATATCAAGGGTTTAATAGAATTGAATAATACTAAGTCCACAACCTTCCCTCACAATCCTAACGTAACAACTCGTAATTGGTTAACTCACAAATAAGTCTCACCTGCTTGCTATGAGTCATGCCTACTCATTTGTCAACTAACCAATTACAAGTTGCCACGTCGGGGGTTATGAGAGAAGGTTGTAGATCTAGTATTACTCATACAAATTTTTTCTTTTTCTTAATTATTATAAAAAGCTATTATAATTACTCTTTTACCCCTTCTAAACAATAGGCATAGGACAAATCTCATGGGGCTTAAAAGTAATTGTATTGTTAAAAATATTGGTAAGATAAAAAAAAAAAAAAAAAAAAGATTTCTGTTTTCTTATGATAAAATATGATTTCCCAAGATAAAGCTGTGAGTCTGTGACCAATTTGATTGGCTGACATTACACAGAAAATCCTACGTGTCATTTAGATTCACAAACCAAAACCCATCCCCGCGAGGATGAATATTAGCCAATTCTGATCATCAATGGCGCTCTCTTCACCCACTGCACTCTCACTTGCTCATCTTCATCCTCATGGACTCCATCGGAACAACTTACTCTCCTCCAAACCTCGCTTTGGCCGTCTCTTTCCCGCCAAAAATGGCTCAAGAATCGTCGCCATGGCACCCCAAAAAAAGGTACTTCATCAATTTTGATAACCTTTCAACTACCTCATATCATAATTCTCTTTTTTTGCTGTGTCAATGAAAGTTTTATCATTCATGACAGGTAAACAAGTACGATGAAAACTGGGAAAAGCAATGGTTCGGTGCTGGAATTTTCTACGAAGGAAGCGAAGAGGTTGAAGTTGATGTTTTTAAGAAACTTGAAAAACGTAAAGTGTTGAGCAACGTTGAAAAAGCAGGTCTTTTATCAAAAGCCGAGGAGTTTGGTGTCACTCTATCATCTATTGAGAAGTTAGGTTTGTTCTCTAAAGCTGAGGAGTTGGGTTTATTGAGTTTGTTGGAGAAGGTAGCTAGTGTTTCACCATCCACTCTGGCGTCCGCCTCTTTGCCCATATTTCTGGCCGCCGTGGCGGCGATAGTGGTGATTCCTGATGACTCCGTAGGGTTGGTGGTGGTGCAAGCGGTGGTGGCTGGTGCTCTTGGAGTGGGTGCTACTGGTTTGTTTGTTGGGTCTGTTGTTTTGGATGGTTTACAAGAAGCTGACTGAATAATTTTTATTTGATTTTGTTGATTTTATTTTTTTAGGAAATTAAAAATAAATAAACATTTTCTTGGGGTAAAGTACTTGCAAATGTTGTAAATTACAGAGGAGAAGATATCTTTTCTACTTTGTTGAGTTTGGATTAAAGAAGATAATTAAAATGGAATTGATGTCGTTGTGTAAATGAAGATCAGAATCTTTCTGTTTGCCATTTTTTTCCTTTCATTTTGACCGTTTGATTTTTTCGTTAATTCGGGCAGGATTGAGTTGAGTTTTAACAAATAATTAATTGATATTTGACACTTTTCCCATCCCCTGCGCAAAGGCAAACGTGCTTTTATTTTCAGTTCACAGTTCTGAGCAAGTAATTTTCCAGAAGCAAACACCTTTTTCCCTTTCTTCTGTCTAGTAGTACTTAAGCATTGTATTTGCATTTTTTAATCTGATGGCTTGGTCTCTGTTTGGTTGCCAAGAAATTGTAGTACAAAAAAAATATTTTTTTCTTCACTGGGACGAGAAGATGCCCTCTTGGCTCTTGTGCATTTGTGCTATTCTGAGATTAACTAGTGATAAGATTATTAAATTTTGTTTATTCTGTTCCTCTCATATTGGCATCAAGAAAACAGAGAGAGTTTCAGTCTCAGTTGTGGTGAAGTCCCTGATTATTAACTATGATGTACCAGTCTAGTTAACAATTTTGCTTGATTTTTCCTCAATACAACTTAGTGATAAGATAGTTCTACTTTTCGTGTTGAGGATTCTGGAATTTGAAATGACTCTAGTTACAACTGAAGTAAGATAAATACTGCTGTATCAATATTTAAAGTAGTATCATACATGTGAATCTAATTCTATATCAAACTAGTCCAAGATATAATTAGGACCATTAATAGAAATACTATAGCTAACTAATCTAGATTGATACAAAGATAATCAATCACTAGAGGCTTGAGCAAGTAGAAATATGGCAATCTCTTTCTAATTCAATGATGTTGAATCACTTCTCAAGGCCCTGTTGATCTGTACTTGTAGCGGTTTGCCCAGAAAAAATAATGCAGGAAGTTTAAGCCACTTAGGATGCACATCAACCAGTAAAACCTTTCTAGGTGATAGTGATTCAAGTTGCTACCAAAGAGCCAGGGCGTGTGGCGATAAGCACCGGTGACATTGTTGATTATTGATACAAGCACTGAACTGAAGTAGTACCCCATGGCCAGCGAGGCCCAGGAGAGAGATGTGGCCAAAGATCTCATACTTATGGGGGCCTCTGAGAAGAAGAATTCCATCATGCCAGCTAATGTGAAAAGATCAGCTGATCCAAGAAACAAGTATTGCAAGGCCACCCAGAGGAATGTGATGGGGAGAGGTTCAGATGAATTCAGTCGACCTGAATCAACTGCTACTCTCTTTCGCTTTGTTTCCACTAGAGCTGCCACAGCCATGGCTACAATAGAGAGTATTAGTCCTGTCCCAATTCGTTGTAGATGAGTGACCCCCATTTCCGTTTTGGTTGTTTTTCTGGCAAGTGGAATGATCACATGATTATAGAGTGGTGCAAGAATCATGATGAACATGACAGGGAAGACTGGAAGAGACGCCGGTGGGACTTTAAAGGAGCCTAGCTTGGTATTCATGGTGGCAGCTTGTTGAATCGAAAAAGTGGAGAGCTGAGCAAGACAACAGTTTAAGATTATCGTGGACATGAAGATGGGGAAAATCTTTAGGACTATCCTGACCTCCTCTACCTCCTTTTCCGTGCAATGAAAAACAGAGTGGCCAGAGTTGTTGATTAATGCTCTATCTAGAAACTTGAGACTCTCTGTTGGAATTTGACTTGGCTCCTCCTTTGTAGTATGACTATATTCATCCTCCGTGGATTCAGAATTAGTCATACAGGAAGGATTTGAGTGAACTCCCATGATGGCATTGCTGGAATTCTTACATTTGTAGGTGTTATAAATTGCAGCAGTTAGCACCTGTCGGACAAAAATGAAAGAGGTTTTATTTAGCTCTATGCTGCGAGCTAGCTTTGGCAAATCACAGTGCTTTATTGACTGATTTCAACCAAATTCTACCTTGAATATAGTGGTGATGGGGCTTCCAATGGGAATTTTGGTCCTGTAGAAAGGAGAGCCAAGGAGGAAGGCTGGAATGGAGAGCAATATCGTTGCAGTGGAGATCCCAAAACCCCACTGCCAGCCTTTGTTGTCTTCAACCCAGACCACAAAAGTGACTGCAATTAAAGCTCCAGAAGCGAGACAGAACACAAAGTAATTGAAGAATGCTGATCTCTGCTTCCTTCCTTGTTGGGTAGTCTCATCAAATTGCTCAGCTCCATGAGGAGCAAGTGAACCTTTTATTCCTCCCACACCCAGTGCCACAAGATAGAGACCCGCAAACAACATCACTGCTTTCCCGCCTTCAACTTCCTGGCATGAAGTGTTGGTGTCCGCCAAAGCACAGGTTGGTGGTCTCAATGAAGGCACTTGAGCTTGGACCGTTAGTAATAACAGACCCTAAGCCAGTAATTATAATTAATAAGAAACATATAACAAGACAAAACAATTGATAATATATTAATCAGAAGAAAATTATATTAGAATCCGATTCTTAAGTCTACTCATTATGCAACTCAATTAATCAGGATGTGACTGAAGATCAGATATTTTGAAGTTGCTTTGTTGAGAGTTTGGATGTTACATGCATCACTATTGTCACATGGTATGACATGACCAAAACCTACCGTCTTTTGAAGTGCATTTAAATGTCAAGAGGAAATTCAATGGCAGAAAAATCAGCGGGACCTAGCCAGGTCACCATGAGATATGATTGGACAATACTACTGTTAGTATAAGACAAAAACTAACACTTTCGATATACATTTTTTCCCTTTCTCAATTCTCATGTATTTATTGTTAGGTAGCTTTTCTACGTTCCTATTGGTGACAAAGGTCATTTTATTCCGAGGACATTGATATTACGTTCATTTCAACACCGAAAGCTATTGGTGGGGCTGGATTCCTAATAAATCAACATAGTAGCCATAAGATTGGCACATGTTTTGGAGGGATGACACATTGTGTGGTTCCTTCTGCAAAAAAATAGCCAAGAGATTTCATAGTGGTGAGTCCTGCACGCTTCCGGTCTCTGTTCTAATAATGACCTCAAAGGGGACCTGTCAAAACCAAGAAGGCGCTTTCTTGCAAAACTTGTAGTGATAGTTGGAGATGGCTACTGTGCAATTTGAATATCAAATTAATTGGCAGTCCTGGAATTTATGTTCACAAATCTGTAGATAATATTGGGTCATATTAAGTTCTTGGTCTATATCATCTCTATAAAGCATGATGGTTGTATTATAAATGGACAACTCCAGCTTGTTATGTGATATTTATATAAATAATATAAAAATATTCAGAAGTTTAATCCTTGAGAGGATCTTACCATGAATTCTATTACAGCACTGATCACATAGATGTTGTAGGTGGTGAAGAAGGCATCTGCCAAAAAGCCACCAAGGAGAGCAAGGAGGAAGGCTGTTCCCATGAAATTAGTCACCGTGTTTGCGGCGCTTGATGGAGAAAAATGCAAGAACTTTGAGAGGTAAAGTACAAGGTTGCTTGCATTGGCCAGAAATGCTAGATTCTCCAGTACCTCCACAACTAAGTATTGCAGCATAAGAAAATCTCACAAATAAGTGTCACGTTTTCAAAACTAATCTATACTGATTACATGTAAATATAGTATTTCTTGTGATATATATAAGTTCCGAAGGTTTTCCAGCAACCTAGTTTTATATGATGGTTAGCTTATGGTAAAGAAAGAAATGAAAATGTGCTTTAATCATTAAGCTATGCATACTGACCCAAGACGAAAGAGGCAGCAAGCATGCCACCGTGACGCCCTCGCAAGGCAGGTTTGTTCCTCCAGTCCACATATCCCTCCCATGTGTTTAATTGCTGCAACTCATCCTACAAAGACGAACAAAAGAATTTATGAAAACTTGCCAGGGAAATTAAGAGGTGAAAAGAAGAGACAAAAAAAGGAAATGTGAATACAAGAACAGAGAAGTTCCAGTATCCTACCATTATAATATAAATTTATTAAAACTTATATTGAAACTCAGGTAAAAGAAGACTTTAATTCAGTGGGGAAGTACTTTCTTGAACCAGCGAGGTAGTAGCAAGCGGAGTCTTATATATATACAGACTGGGCAAATGGTGGCCCGAGCAGTAGAGAAAGGTCTAGACTCAATGACAATGACCATTCATTCTCTCTTAGTTCAATTTTCAAGATTTACAGTTTGTACATATCTGAGAAAGAGCCAAATAGGTAGGGCTTTGATCTTATTTAGGATTCACTTGGTTCTAACTTACGAGGAAATAAAAAATTAAAACTAAAGAATGTCTAAATCCTTCTACATGTGTGAGCTTAATTATTTGTTCTCCTGTATGTACTCTTATTAATTTAAGCATTTGGTTTAATACTAGTCTAAAATAACAATAATTTCTGGGGTAAGAATGTTATCATTTTACAGCCTGAGTAAATAGAATTGTGGTGTTAGATGATTTACTGGAGAATACGTGCAACATGTAGTTGTCAACAGACATGAACTGTGATGACAAGAGGAGATATAAAATGTAAAGAAACAAGTGGACTAGATTAAATGAGGCTCCATAATAGTATTTGCTTGTGCTGGAAGATTGGAGGTAAAGTTTCTAGCTTTTCATACATGCCCCACACCCACACAAAAAACAATCACTCAATCTCAGTAGTGGGAAGAGCACTGGATATTAAAGCTAATGTCAAGAGATCAATGATTTATCTACTTGCACTAACTTTGAATTATCTTATTATGACCATTCCTATCCTGAAAAATTCATGATTTATCTTACGTAATCCTAACCGTATATGCAGATTTAACTGCTTTGATTGAGTTTTGACCATTTTCTTCTGTGAAATCAAGGGCCTCTCATATTTTATCATTTTATTGCCCATTCATCTTAAATTGTGTTAGCTTCTTACTAGTAGAATCATCTATTCCGCCAAAGCCGATGCCGGGTGGAATAGGTATCCTTTCTGAGCCACCTGTAATTCCTTGTTTTCCTTTTTCAATAATTGAAAGAATGTGATAGTCCAGATAGATTTGGGTACCTGAAATCTCTCCAAAATGAGTGGCTAAGAGTCTTAATATAATGGGTCCTACTAATCCGCCATTTTCTTCCATGCATTGCCATCCTACACTAGTTTGTTTACCTCTTATTCATTTCAATCAAAGCGTGATTAAAACTGAAACATAAACCCGCCTCATTTGTGTAATTTTTTGTGCGGTAAGATTTGTAAAACACGACTATACAAAACTTCTGGAGAGTGAGGAAGAGGCCAGTGTCATTGTCATGGGGCGGTGGCACATGCAAATGCAGAAACAGGGATGTTTATCAGATAAATTATTGAAATCAATTGTGTGCATGGATTGTTGGTGATACTATTGGAATGAGGGAATACTAACTGTAGTTTTCGAGTTGCCAGCAGTTCACATTCTGTATAGCCTTACTGTAGTAAAGACCCTATGTGTTATTTTCATATATTTTCTCCACTCAATTTGAGAAAAGTTTGAGTTGTAGTGACTTGGTTCTTAAAGCAGTTTATAATCTGATTCTCCCTTTCTTGTAGATAGTTGGATCTCCTAGATTAGATTACCCCTGTTGGATGGAAGAAGAATATAAGAATGCTTATCATATCAGATTATTCCTGAGATAAACAATCTTTTTCATTTGGCTGGTGGACTAATAATTTGAGTTTACAGAAAAAGTTCGAGTCTTCCTACTTGCTTACTAGTGCTATGACAGGAGAACACTGTACCTAATCACAATCTCTAAATTGAATAATTATCAGAACAGGAAAAGATGGATATAAATAACTAATTCTGGAGAAGGATGAAATAAAAAGAAGATGTTTCTATCGAACATTGTTTGTGCTCTAAATATCTGACCATATATCCCAGAAATTTGTATGGTTCAAGTAAAATTAGAATTTGTTCCTCCAACTTTAACTCTCGAATGTTGAATACCTTGCGTATATACATATTCTACATTATCTACTAATCAAACGTCAATTATATATATATATCTTAACTTATAATTTTAATCCTAAAAAGATCACATTTTCAGGCTGAGGCCGGCTGCTTAAATTTAATCTTTACACATGCTGGACTCATCTTTAAAAATTCTTTCTCACCACCAGGATTAAGTAAACAGTACAGATATTTCAGTCATTTGGGCATATGCATGCCTTTTAATTGAGCAGGTGGGCTGACAAGTGAGGTGGTGGAGTGGAACTATTGAAGTGGCAGGCAAAGAAGGGATGCTGCACGAGGCCCAAAAAATAAATTTGTGTTGGCAACATTGAGCAGTTGTCGTGGTTACCAGAATCTCCAGATTGTGACCACAACATTTTGCAGATTAATGCCACCGACCATTTGGTTGTGAAATGAAATGAAGACTACTAAAATTAGTTACCAATAATTCATGAGCAGTTTGTTTCAAATAACTATAAATGGGTAAAGATTGAAAATGGGTTCAATCCGGTTGTTGGTTGGCAACCATGAAATGACTAGAAGCAATTTAATCCAGTCTTTGTGCTCCATATTCAGTACTAATGTCCTCTGTAGATTCGGACTTTGTGGGAATTGGAATCACCATTAACATAGTTGACACATTTGCTAGTAGGAAATTTATAACTATCCAATCGCTTGTGTTAGAACCCGGATAATGACTACCAACTTCAAGGCGTGTATCAATGCCACTTCCCTAAAGAAAATTTCGCCGTTTTACAGTGCAAATAGGATCAGCGAATTTCTTTAAGTTACAATGAAGAACCTGCTTGTGTTATGCACAAAACAGAAGTAAACTAGAGAGAGTTTTGATTATAATAGAATTGTAGTTTTCTTTGTTATGTACTTTTATAGAAAATCTTATTTCTTATATATGATTGTTGGTACCTTTTAAAGAGAAGGTACCTTTTGAAAAACCCTTGAGATATGGGCACAACCTTTTGAAGGTATATGATCTTTTAAAGGTATATGACCTTTTGAAGATACATGACCTTTTGATAATAGACATGCCCAATTAGGAAAATGTCTCACAATCCCCCGCCATTTTTCTAATTTGATAATACATGCTAGGTCCAATAACAATTCTATAAGTAATATGCATAAATAATGGTATTTTGCAATTTGAACCATTACATAGTGAAAGTTCATTACAACAAATCTGAATAATATGGTAGACAAGCTTTGAACCATACAATCTTTTTGTCAAGTTGTATAAAAGTTCACATATATCACTTTGATGCCAAAACATCTCAATCGTGGTTGACACGTAAAAGGTTATGTGTCTGTATCATTCATGAGAGATTTTAGAGCCAAGCCTTTAAGCTCCTAAAAGCAACACCACTTCACTCTCATATAGGTAGACTCTATCAAAAGTGTCCCCGCTATTTTAGCACTTCGATGAAAAACCATCAATAGGTCTATTAAGTGTAAATTACTCAATCTTCCTTTTAAGACTACGGGAACCAAGTACTATTTTTTGCTTTGGGATGTTAGAGAAAATTTATAGTACTTCTAACCACTCTAATAATGTACTTTGACTCATTGAACTCAAAACTTGACGTTGTACCAAGCATTAAGTTGAGTTTCCATTATTGGTGATTATATTCAATAGGCTTGAGACCCATCCCCTTTGATGTTTTATTTATCAAATCTCTTGCTAATCCCTTTGTTAAAGGATCAGCTAGATTCAGACTTGATTTGACATAGTTAATTGTGATTACTCCATTTGAGATTAAATCTCTTACATAACTATGTCTAAGTCCAATGTGTCTTGACTTTCCATTATATACATGGTCTCTTGACAAAGTAGCTTCACTATCACAATGTATATAAATTAGTGCTATTGGTTTTGGCCACAATGGTACCTCATATAACAAATCTCGTATCCATTCTGTTTCTTTGCTTGTAAAAGCTAGTGCTACAAATTCAGCAGCCTTGGTGGAGTTAGTTATGCATGTCTGTCTCTTTGAACCCTAAGAAATTGCACCACCTCCAAGCATAAAAATCCACCCGTTTGTCTGAGGCATGATCCTCTCTATCAATAATCCAACTTGCATCAGAGTAACATTCCAAAACAAAAGGATACCCTCCATATTTATGCTCAGTTTTTGTTTTCTTTAAGTACCTAGTATCTTTTAAAACCATGCTACTGTAAATTACTTGCATTACTGGTGTACCTACTAGATTTTGTTCCTTTAATCTGTATCTAATTTAACCATGCCATACAATCTTCTAAAATTCAAATGTCCAGTCTATAATGCCAAAAAAATTAGACTCAACAATATAAGCAAAAACAACTTTTATTATTATCAGTCATACCAATATTGGCAATATTAAGTTTGAACATGTCATCACACAAGTAACCCTTCCCACAAACATCCCCCTTGGACAGAACAAAATTATCTGCCTCAATACAAGTTTGAACCCAATTTGTTCAATAAACTACCAGATGCAAGATTCTTCTAACCTCTGTACATAATACACTTGTTTAATGTTAATTTCTCAACAGATTTAAATTCTAACTCTACTTTTCCTATTCCCTTGACTTGGGCAGTTAAGGAGTTTCCCATGAACAATACCATGTACTGGTTCAACGGATTTGAAAAAATCCTTGTTCTTGCAGACATGTCTTGTCGCACCAGAATCAACCCACCATGCAGAATTATCTTCTAGTAAATTGATCTCATAAATCATTGCTACTAGTTCTCATTTTCCACACTAGTATAGTACTTCTCCTTCTTCTTTTTCCAGAATTTGAAAAAAATCCTTGTTCTTGTAGACATGTCTTGTCGCACCAGAATCAACCCGCCATGCATAATTATCTTCTAGTAGATTGATCTCATAAATTATTGCTACCAGTTTCTCATTTTCCGTACTAGTAAGTGCTTCTCTTTTTCTTTTTCCAAATCGACAATCCTTCTTGAAGTGGCCATGTTTTCCACAAAAGAAACATTTTGCTTCTTTCTCTGGTTTCTTGCTTTTATGTCCACACCAGGACCAAAACCCTCTTATTTGCTACTTGGAAGTTTCTTCCACCATATGATTTTGGAATCGTGGAACGGATGGTTCCTTTGGTTCATCCTGCAAATGAAATTCTTCTTCCACACGCAAAGATTTAGCCAAATCATCAAGTGATATGTCATCCTTTTTATGTTTGAGACTTCTTCTGAAATCTCTCCATGTTGGGGGTAATTTATCAATTATTGAAGAGACAATTATGGTTTCATCTATATGCATTTCATGCATTTTGAAATGATTCAGAGTTCTTTCAATTTCATTAAGTTGTTCCATAACAGGTCTATTATCTACCATTTTATAGGAATTAAAATGAGAGACAAGAAATTTCTTACTTGTAGCATCCTCTTGCATGTGCTCTGTCTCTAGTTTTTCCCACAATTCTTTTGCAGTAGACACTCCTTGATACCTTGATAAATGTCAAATAATGCATCTGACATTGCATTCAGCATGTGTCCCCTGCAGATTTCATCATCATGTTCAAATTTGTGCCGCTTCCTTGTTTCAACAATGGTTTCATTCTCCATTTCCTCAGGTTTTGGAGTGTTCAGCACATAAGCAACTTGCAGAGACACCAAAAGAAAATGAATCCTTCTCTGACATCGAATGAAATTTCCTCCATCAAACCTCTCTAACTTCACGAAGTCAGTAGTCATCTCCCTTTGAGTATGAAGTGCAGCCATCTTGTTGCAAATAGAAGTAACCGAAAAATTTCCTTTAGATTGTTAGAACCGGGATAGTGACTGCCAACTTCAAGGCGTGTATCAATGCCACTTCCCTAAAGAAAATTTTGCCCCTTTATATTGCAAATATGATCAGCGAATTTCTTTAGGATATAATGAAGAACCTGCTTATATTATGCATAAAACAGAAGCAAACTAGAGAGAGTTTTTATTATAATAGAATTGTAGTTTTCTTTGTTATGTACATTTATAGAAAATCTTACTTTTTATATAGGATTGTTGGTACCTTTTGAAAAACATTTTGAGATATGGGTACAACCTTTTGAAGGTACATGACATTTTGAAGATACATGACCTTTTGATAATAGACATGCCTAATTAGGAAAATATCTCACAGCTTGTACATACACCGATTTTGGTGGTCGTGATTGGTCAGAATTTCACTTGGGAAGGGCGGCTGTGCAAACCTTAATCGCTTAATTACCGGTAATTGTCGGGTCGGCCAGAGTAAAGTTTGAGAGGGTTTTGGTAAGTAATAATTGGGAAAGAGAACGGTGACAGTGTGGGGTCGCAACGATTTCTGAATCGGTCAATGATTAGCAAAGTCGACGGAATGATTTTGAATTTTTAAATTGATTTTTGAAAAAGTAAAAAATAATCCCTTTTCAACTTCTCCATCGTATTCAAATTTTTTGATTAAATTCAAATATGATTTTTCATATCCTCGTATTTCTTTTTAATAGGCCAATCCAAATATGTTAGTTCTTAAACTTGAAGTTATAAACTAATCCAATTAAAAAACAAAACAAAACAAAAAAACTAACTAACTAACTAACTTCCCATTTAATAGATAATCCCACTTACAGGATGGAGTGACAGAAGTTAATACATAACTTTGTACTTAACAATTGTAGAAAATCTGATTAAGAAAACAAAACCTTGAGTTTAGGAGACTTAGAAGAGAAAAACATTAAATATATAGATACTTACCAAGTTATATTATAGTTGGCATATTTCAGTAGACAAAATAAAATATGGGATGATATACTTAATAATGGAGGCTAAAAATCATGTCTAGGAGTAATATTAACATTTGCCAACAAATGGGCTTCTCTCAACGAGATACGGGACACGAGACTTTAGCCAGTGCATTGGACCCAATAAAACTTCTTCGAGCCCACTAAAACATGATGCAGTATGACACTGCACCATTTATAAAGTTATGGTGAGCTTCATTGTTTAGCTCGGGAAAGGAAGAAAATAAAATATTTCTATTTTTAATTTACCTGGGTCACATATAATTTATGTTAAAATTTCATGGAATGGAAACCTAACTAAACTATAATTCTAAAAAACTCAAAACAATTTCTACCACCGTACATCAAATTCATACGGGCTTAATCTCTCGTAAGTTACAAAGCCCATGCTCTGCTATAAGTAAGGCCTGAAAGTAAAAAACCCAGAATATCTAGACTTTTGACCATCTCCACCACATTGAAAATTATTGGGATGAATCAAACTTAAAAGTTAAAATCTCTCAAACAATATATTTAAAAGTCTCGATTAATCCTGGACCATTCGACCATGGATATGGAGTGAACCAAGAATAGCTTGGCTTTTGTGGGGGGGCAAACCCACGAGAAAGAATTTTAAGGAAATGAAGTGAATGTAGTTTAGACAATGACAACACTCAGATAAATCACATCCCTCTTTTTAGTGTGGTCCAGCGAGTTCATACTTCATACCCAACTTTAACATATTCTTCTTGAACACTTTTGAATTTTTGTGCTTGGTTTGGACTTTGCAACGGATGCAAACATCCCCCTTGGACAGAACAAATTATCTCCTCAATACAAGTTTGAACCCAATTTGTTCAATAAACTACCAGATGCAAGATTCTTCTAACCTCTGTACATAATACACATTGTTAATGTTAATTTCTCAACAGATTAAATTCTAACTCTACTTTTCCTATTCCCTTGACTTGGGCAGTTAAGGAGTTTCCCATGAACAATACCATGTACTGGTTCAACGGATTTGAAAAAATCCTTGTTCTTGCAGACATGTCTTGTCGCACCAGAATCAACCCACCATGCAGAATTATCTTCTAGTAAATTGATCTCATAAATCATTGCTACTAGTTCTCATTTTCCACACTAGTATAGTACTTCTCCTTCTTCTTTTTCCAGAATTTGAAAAAATCCTTGTTCTTGTAGACATGTCTTGTCGCACCAGAATCAACCCGCCATGCATAATTATCTTCTAGTAGATTGATCTCATAAATTATTGCTACCAGTTTCTCATTTTCCGTACTAGTAAGTGCTTCTCTTTTTCTTTTTCCAAATCGACAATCCTTCTTGAAGTGGCCATGTTTTCCACAAAAGAACATTTTGCTTCTTTCTCTGGTTTCTTGCTTTTATGTCCAACACCAGGACCGGAAAACCCTCTTATTTGCATACTTGGAAGTTTCTTCCACCATATGATTTTGGAATCGTGGAACGGATGCCAGAAATTTGTATGGTTCAAGTAAAATTAGAATTTGTTCCTCCAACTTTAACTCTCGAATGTTGAATACCTTGCGTATATACATATTCTACATTATCTACTAATCAAACGTCAATTATATATATATATCTTAACTTATAATTTTAATCCTAAAAAGATCACATTTTCAGGCTGAGGCCGGCTGCTTAAATTTAATCTTTACACATGCTGGACTCATCTTTAAAAATTCTTTCTCACCACCAGGATTAAGTAAACAGTACAGATATTTCAGTCATTTGGGCATATGCATGCCTTTTAATTGAGCAGGTGGGCTGACAAGTGAGGTGGTGGAGTGGAACTATTGAAGTGGCAGGCAAAGAAGGGATGCTGCACGAGGCCCAAAAAATAAATTTGTGTTGGCAACATTGAGCAGTTGTCGTGGTTACCAGAATCTCCAGATTGTGACCACAACATTTTGCAGATTAATGCCACCGACCATTTGGTTGTGAAATGAAATGAAGACTACTAAAATTAGTTACCAATAATTCATGAGCAGTTTGTTTCAAATAAATATAAATGGGTATAGATTGAAAATGGGTTCAATCCGGTTGTTGGTTGGCAACCATGAAATGACTAGAAGCAATTTAATCCAGTCTTTGTGCTCCATATTCAGTACGAATGTCCTCTGTAGATTCGGACTTTGTGGGAATTGGAATCACCATTAACATAGTTGACACATTTGCTAGTAGGAAATTTATAACTATCCAATCGCTTGTGTTAGAACCCGGATAATGACTACCAACTTCAAGGCGTGTATCAATGCCACTTCCCTAAAGAAAATTTCGCCGTTTTACAGTGCAAATAGGATCAGCGAATTTCTTTAAGTTACAATGAAGAACCTGCTTGTGTTATGCACAAAACAGAAGTAAACTAGAGAGAGTTTTGATTATAATAGAATTGTAGTTTTCTTTGTTATGTACTTTTATAGAAAATCTTATTTCTTATATATGATTGTTGGTACCTTTTAAAGAGAAGGTACCTTTTGAAAAACCCTTGAGATATGGGCACAACCTTTTGAAGGTATATGATCTTTTAAAGGTATATGACCTTTTGAAGATACATGACCTTTTGATAATAGACATGCCCAATTAGGAAAATGTCTCACAATCCCCCGCCATTTTTCTAATTTGATAATACATGCTAGGTCCAATAACAATTCTATAAGTAATATGCATAAATAATGGTATTTTGCAATTTGAACCATTACATAGTGAAAGTTCATTACAACAAATCTGAATAATATGGTAGACAAGCTTTGAACCATACAATCTTTTTGTCAAGTTGTATAAAAGTTCACATATATCACTTTGATGCCAAAACATCTCAATCGTGGTTGACACGTAAAAGGTTATGTGTCTGTATCATTCATGAGAGATTTTAGAGCCAAGCCTTTAAGCTCCTAAAAGCAACACCACTTCACTCTCATATAGGTAGACTCTATCAAAAGTGTCCCCGCTATTTTAACACTTCGATGAAAAACCATCAATAGGTCTATTAAGTGTAAATTACTCAATCTTCCTTTTAAGACTACGGGAACCAAGTACTATTTTTTGCTTTGGGATGTTAGAGAAAATTTATAGTACTTCTAACCACTCTAATAATGTACTTTGACTCATTGAACTCAAAACTTGACGTTGTACCAAGCATTAAGTTGAGTTTCCATTATTGGTGATTATATTCAATAGGCTTGAGACCCATTCCCTTTGATGTTTTATTTATCAAATCTCTTGCTAATCCCTTTGTTAAAGTATCGGCTAGATTCAGACTTGATTTGACATAGTTAATTGTGATTACTCCATTTGAGATTAAATCTCTTACATAACTATGTCTAAGTCCAATGTGTCTTGACTTTCCATTATATACATGGTCTCTTGACAAAGTAGCTTCACTATCACAATGTATATAAATTAGTGCTATTGGTTTTGGCCACAATGGTACCTCATATAACAAATCTCGTATCCATTCTGTTTCTTTGCTTGTAAAAGCTAGTGCTACAAATTCAGCAGCCTTGGTGGAGTTAGTTATGCATGTCTGTCTCTTTGAACCCTAAGAAATTGCACCACCTCCAAGCATAAAAATCCACCCGTTTGTCTGAGGCATGATCCTCTCTATCAATAATCCAACTTGCATCAGAGTAACATTCCAAAACAAAAGGATACCCTCCATAGTTTATGCCATAGTTTATTGTTTTCTTTAAGTACCTTAGTATTCTTTTAAAACCATGCTACTGTAAATTACTTGCATTACTGGTGTACCTACTTAGATTTTGTTCCTTTAATCTGTAGATCTAATTTAACCATGCCATACAATCTTCTAAAATTCAAATGTCCAAGTCTATAATGCCAAAAAAAATTAGACTCAACAATATAAGCAAAAACAACTTTATTATTATTATCAGTCATACCAATATTGGCAATATTAAGTTTGAACATGTCATCACACAAGTAACCCTTCCC